GTGGTGATGATGTTGGTAGTGGTGATGATGTTGGTAGTGGTGATGATGATGGTGGTGGTCATGATGTTGATAGTGGTGATGATGTTGATAGTGGTGATGATGTTGGTAGTGGTGATGATGTTGGTAGTGGTGATGATGATGGTGGTGATGATGTTGGTAGTGGTGATGATGATGTTGGTAGTGGTGATGATGTTGGTGGTGATGATGATGATGGTGGTGGTCATGATGTTGATAGTGGTGATGATGTTGATAGTGGTGATGATGTTGGTAGTGGTGATGATGGTAGTGATGATGTTGGTAGTGGTGATGATGTTGGTAGTGGTGATGATGGTCATTAATGATGATGATGATAATAACAGCTATAGACTATAGTAGTCCTAAACTGTTCTAGTCAGAGGTTGTTGATCCAGTAAGGATCATCCCTTGGTGGTCCAGTGTTACTACAGGAAGAAACTGGAGTACCAGAAGCCAGAAGTGTTTGATAGAATCATTCTTGGTGATGGAGAGATGAGCGTTATGGCGCATTTCCACTCAGGAAAATTTTCCGCAGAAAGAAAATTTTGTAAAATGTGATTGGCCGACACAAATTTTCCGTCGGAAAAAAAAAGTTGAAGTTGAAAATTTTCAACTTTTAACAATGATATTTTCGGAAAATTTTCTGTCCGTGGAAAATTTCCTTGAGTGGAAATGGGCCTATACGGTACAGTATCCGTAGAAGAGATGTTTACAACATTACTTATGGTGTACCTACCTTCACCCGCAGGTATCGTAGAACCAGTGCCGTATCGTCAAGACGCCAAAGACTATCTGTCGCGTACTGTCAACAAAACTCTGATCAAAGGACTGACAGAACTATGCAAGAAGAAACCTCAAGAACCGATCGTAAGTAGAACACGTTTATTCAAGGACATTCAGTGATGTTTGGTGGAGTCAAACTGGAAGCACTCTTCTCACATGTGACTGAGGTGAAATTATAATCAGACCAGGGCATATTGCAGGGATGGAACACTGGTCACAAAGTCGAAAGACACATGCAGTAACCACTGTGTAACATTCTGCAAAACAGGACCTCCTCCGAAGGGTTACCCTGTACTGTGATGTTCAACCAAGGCATATTTTAACATATATACTGAGGGGCCATTTGGCCCCCCAGGCCCTCCTGTTGGCCCCCACTCATGCAAAATTCCCCACCCCCCACTCCTTGGGCCCTTTTAACACATTTTTGTGTGAAATCATGAAATGTGAATGTATATAGTAAGTCTTCGTCTGTATATTTTTATCGAGAGTATATGAAGAAATTCTAACAGTAGCTTGAGTTAAAATATATGTTGAAAGACAAGCACATTGCGAGTAAAAGTGTTAAACATTAAGTTTTTATAGTATTCAGAACTATTTAAAATGCCCCCCAAAACGTACTAAATAGCAATTTTGGAGTCTCCAGATTTCAAAATTTTACGGGGGAGGATGCCCCGGACCCCCAACGGGTCCTTTTCCAAGTTATGGCCCCCCACTTGTAAATCTTTAAAATATGCCTTGTGTTCAACTCACCCTCAACGTGGCAACATTTTCATACTCGATGTTTATGGTGCTACTCTGAGTGTGCATCCACACCGGGCAAGCTGAAAAATATGCTGCCTGACCACGGTGGGAATCGAACCCCGCGACCTTTGGGGTACTAGTCCATTGTCCTACCAAATAAGCTGCTAGGTCAAGTCGGTTCGAGATGGTGATATTTTGGAGTCTAGTTCCATCGATATCAATGTGGGTGATATCTAAGATATGATACACACACATAAAAAGTATTTTTACACTTCTAGTTATGGCTCTCAGATTGGCTGATTGACAACAACCCGAACAAACCAAGAATAAACCAGCCCGGATATCAAGTCGTGGAACCCGAAGACTAAAGTTACAACAATATATACAATGCGCATGTCAAATTAGGTCGTCATATTGACTATCGCAGCACAGCAAGACGAGCTGTGTGAAAAATCGTTTTGTATAATATTTTACACTATATGTAAATAAATGTTTAAAACAAGTGTTATTTTCCGCTGGCCGAGGCACGAAAGAAGCGGGAAATGTTTTCTCTCGCACTGCTGGGGGGGATAAAATCAGGGTGTTACAGGGTGTGGTGCAGGTTATATAGCACATTTTTGTTGTTGCTCAAGGTTTAGGTTTACAGTATCCCACCCATACTACGAAATTTGCAAGCAATACAATCCATACTACGAAATTTGCAATTGCACCACTATTTCCATAGTATATCCATACTGTTTCCATCCTATAGAAATATACAATTATTATGGATAACCAAAATCCATTCTATTTCCATTAAAGGTCCATACAATTTCCATTCTATGACCTTCTATTTCTATGGATTTTCAATTTTTTTTTTCCAGTAACCCTTTATTAGCAGTGGAACAGCACATCTTTAGATTAGATATATGTACTTGTTATAGCATAGGCAGCCAAAAACGGCGTGTGGAATGCACCATATGAACAATGCTTTTCATTGAGTGCTTGCGGCGCGCGACAAATGACAGAGGAATGGGGCGAGCTTAATATAAATTGACATTTGGAAGCATTTGGTGCATTCTACACGCCGTTTTGGGCTGCCTATGGTTATAGTAACTATTTAGCGAGCAATTGTATGATAAATGAATAAATGTCAAGCTTGCGGCTGACGTTGCAGCAGCTCCCAGCGATGTGCGAGAAACATCTTTTAAGAATCAAAAGTCGTAGACTGTTTGTACACAGCTCCTGCATGTTCCAATACACCGGAAAGTAATGAACATTGGCTATGCAGCCTCGTTTTCGCGATCCAAATTTTTCTCTTAGAGCCTTTCAGATTCCAGGTGAAAAAACCCCAACAAAACTTAACTAATGAACAAACACACGGAGTAATGAGGCAGATATATGGGCGGTTCATGTCTAGTTTATATTAACTTTGGAAAGTGTAAGGATTGTTTGATGAACGCATTGATCGTGTGTTGTAATCTTGAAGTTGTAACTTGTCTCTATTGTTTTACAATGTCAATGTAATGTGTAAGTAAGACTTAATTTGGGACTCTTCAATCCTTCAATCGTTTTGTTGATTGTAAAGTTGTTTTTTTTAAAAAAAAAAGATTCCAATACAATCCAGTTCTATTTGAGATCAGGGTATTCTAAGGATACCTCCAGGTACACTTAGAGCTCAGCGTTGGCTCATACTAAATGACGTCATCAACATCAATTAGAATAGTAATTGGCATCAATCAAATTTCACGCAAGAAGGCCGCCCCTAACAACGGCAAAATAACATCGGGCAAAAACATCGCCAAGACACGGCAACCTGAAATGCCGAGCGCCAACACTTACAAATGTGATGGTTGTCGAAAAGACTTCAAAAACGTCTGGTTACCCAATAAACTATGCTGTCGTCTGGCGCAGAGTGATTGTGCAAGTATTGGCAACACATACAGTCGGCATATGAATCAAAGCCTCGCAGAAATGACAACGGATCCTGCAAAGAAACTAAGCCTGGATAGCCCTCGCTCAAAAAATGGAGAGAGTGGAAAAGCACAGCGTAATAATATCGCACCGTTCTCATCCTCAGGCAAGCCGACATGCGGGCATTTCTTCTCGCGCGATACCGATCATCGTAAAAGAAAGATTGGAATCCCTCCTTCAAATCTGGTGCAGTGGAGATCTTATGTTTCATGAGTGATGGTTTTATGGACATACTTTGCCTTTGGTAAATTGTTAAAATTGCGTGAAATTGACGATTGTACCGCCTTAGAGATCTTCGCTTGTTGTTGTGTACCAAAAACTGTGTGTCAGAGTGCTGCTTCGGTCGACAAAAGACAAGTTGTGCGACCTTCACTTACAATCCTATTTTGTTGGGGTAAAAATTGTTGCGACGAAAGTGCCAAGTGTGTAACATTTAAAGTTTAGTTTTGCGTTGCTATTGTGAAAACGATGTGTCAGTGTGATGCTTTATGCACATGAGAGGAAATCGCGTTGGAAGATCATTTGCGAAGAAGACGTTCAATTTAGCGTGAATACTTTTGCAATCAACTTCAAGATTTGCTTAAGACCTTTGTTGGTTGTGGTGAGAAAATGGAAATTTTTTACCTGTTTGTGAAAGAATTACTGGGAGAACTCTTCATTAAAGATTAAAGGACAAAAAATAGTAGATCATGCAGCAATTTGGATGGACATTTATCTAAGCGTTGCTATCATAACACTATGTTGCATTATTAAAAGAAAAAGTTTGTTGACTTTTCTAACTGCATGATAAAGTCCTTGGAACAATAAAAGGCTTGTTCCAAGTATTTTCTTGTTTGTTTTAGTTCTGTTTGGGATTAATTGCAATCATCTTCTACTTTAGCAAGTGTCAATTCCAAATCGTTATTTTACAAGCTAATAATACGGAGAAACTGCGTCCTCACACACAAAACTTAATAAGCTTGACAACTCAAACCAGACCAGCAGAATTTTTCACTTGTGACAAAGTGTGAAGCTCTTAAAAAGAACCAGTGGCTTAGAGATTATGGCCAGAAATTGCTGGACCACCGAGTATTTTAATTAAACACAAAACAATCGTCACTCCAAAAACAGTAAACATTTCAGTGAAATGTTATATTCTATGACTACGTTTTAAGTACATTTTTCTGACTAAAATCTAGTCAAATAACTCGAAGCGTCTATTTCATAAACTTGTTCAAAGTATGCAAGATGACACAACATTCACCAAAATAAATGCCAAGGGCCGGTTGTATAAAACTCCTAATCACTTTTTTAATCACTATTTTGTAGTTAAATAGTGATTAACTCTCAAATACGCGCTTCTTATTGGATGACGTTTCCACTTATAACTATAGTTAACTTTAATCACTTTTTTATACAACCGGCCCCAGAGGTAAATTTAACCCATTGAACACCAGCGCTCTCCCCTCTTGTTAGACAGAGTAAAATGACAATTGAAAGTAATGCAACTTCAGAATGGAACCAGGTTTTAAGCTCTTTGAATCAAAGTTTGATTAACTCTGAATCAAACTTTGACGTTAAAATAAAAGAGTTTACACAATTTGTAAACCTCAACCAATTTCAAGGCCCCGCATTAATGAAAATTTTTAAAGCACCCGAAAAATTATTTCGATGAAAGAAACTTATGTGCTGTATATTGTACTGTACTGCGATAGAAAACTTTACATTTTATTAGTTGAACAAAACAAGGCTCTATATGTAACTGTCCCTTAATGGTCCAGAGTAACTTTTACTTGTTACTTACAAACAAACTAGAACTGCCCTTAGGCTAGAGGTATCTGGTGAATGCAGCTTCGCATGCTCTAGACGACGTTTGCATGCTCTAGATACCCTACCATACCTGATGTTCTTGAAATAAAATGTCATAAGACTTCATTTTTGAAGCAGGAAAGAAACAAAAAATGAAATGTACAGAACGTGTTCCAGATGTTATTGTGTTGCTGCCTCTGTTGCGACGCTCATGATCAACGTGATGTTATCTCCTTTGAGCAAGATACGTCCTGAAAAAAACAACCAAGTATTAACACATGAAGTTGCACTGCACCAATAATGAAGGCTCTGAAACAGCCCTCGAAAACCGTCAAAATTGAGGTCGGCAAAAAAATGCTGACCTAAATCTGACCTAGGTCGGCACGTCTCGGCATTTTTAAAATCTGTTTCTATGTCTTGGAGCACTAGTAATCACGTAATTACAAACCATTGAAATTGGAATATAAAGCATGCCTTTTTCTGTGTAAATGCAAACTACAGTAATACGACAGCCTTTCTTTTGGAGTCTTACCTAAATTAGATATACTAGAAATACCTGTCAATTTCTAAACCTTACACTGAAGTGTGTTTAGTTATTAATCGAACTACGAATCAAATTCTACAATCGCTGACTTTTTAACAGCTATCAGCACCAAAAAAATTCTTACTTTGGCTGAAGTAAGGCCGGTTGCCGATCTGGGAGGTTGATAGGTCGGCATTGCCGAATGCCCAACCTCGTTTTCGAGGGCTGCTGAATGTAACATTTTCGCAGTACCCCACAAGGATACCAGGATTGGAAGTTCTAGTATCCCATCTGAGAAGCCAGTATCCCACTTGTGGATATTGGTTACCATGAATTTTGACATCCCTGAGACAATCAAGCTATACAGTACATGTCTCTCATTGGTATAAAATACAAAAACTTTCAGGCCTCGAAATAAATCTGGAAGGTATACCGGTCATCATGACAATGGCTTTTTTCGTGTACAGTAAGCGAAATATGTGGTGATCAAACTGAAAAAATTACATATGATTGACCAGCAGTTATTTCAAGGCCTCAACATTCAACAACAAGGGCAGATTTTCATTTATTTAAAAGGAGGGGTAGAAAAATTTCTGGTGAGGTGCAAGCGGCACCACTCAGTGAGCTTCGACAGAGGTTAGGTGTTAGGGTTAAAGTCTTTCACACAAAATAGGAGGGGTGAAGCAAAATTTTGGTGGGGTTGAACTCTTTATTAGAGGGGTTAGAGAGATTCTAGGGGGGAGGGAGAGGGTTAACCCCCCCCCCTAGTAAAACTGCCCATGGTCAACAACCAGACCAAAAAAACTGCATATGGATAGGGGCTCAATTGTGAAATTAGTAAATCTTCAAGACGAAGGGCATTCCCTCAAAACGTCAAAGCTTTACTTACTTTACTTACACAACCTATGCTGACACAGACTACAATTTTAAACAACTAGACTTCCAAGTTGCACATCAAAGGCTGGTTATTTTTAAAAAGTCAGACTCATAGTATTCAAAGACAGAAATTTGGTCTGGGGGAGTGTGGAATGATGATGTTGATGATCAAAACCAGTGCAAGGGTTATTGAAGACTCACCTAAAGTTTTCCTAGTTTTTCTTTTTAAATGAACTTCCTCAGCTTCATCCAGGACAAGGTTCATGTATTCATCAAATCCCTGAAAACACAAAAAGATTAAATCATTATTTATTCCAGAAAACATCCATATTCCATACCTCCCCAGGGGAGGAAAAAAGAATTTTCTTTCTGGAAGCACAGCCTGGAGACAAAGATTTCCTGCAGACCAACAGAGTATTTTTGTGCTAAATCTACATGTGCATAAACATATAGTGTTCTAGCTGACCATGGTTTTAAATTCAAGGAATAATGTCTGTCAACCATATGTTGTTGTGCCCAAAGTGGGACATGGGTGTTAAGGTTTCCTTCAAATTTTCAATAGCAAATCTTCATTCAAACAAATTTCCTGTAGCTGTTTAACATTTCATGCGAGCAGTGCTCGCGTGCTCGCCTATTTTTTCCACTCCTGCCTCCCCCACAGAGGAAATTGAAAGTCAACCACCTACCGCCTTTGGATGTCCTAATACACTTACTATTATCACAAACAAATATTTCTCCCGTACCCCTCCGGACGGCAGAACTTTTGTCCTTGGAGTAGGGTGGATCAGTTCTGGAATGACCCAATACATGCAATATAATAGGTTGACAAAGAAAAAATAATTTGAACAAAACCACTAGCAAAGCATTTGCCATTAAGTTGTATTATGTCTTTATTACTTTACTCTGTCTAATGCCAGACAATTTTACTCATCAAGGGGACTCCCTGGCACCCAGTGGATTAAAGATACTTACAATAATATGTCCTTCAATTCTCATATTTGTCTGTTCATAGAGCCATACTTGAATCCTTGATCGCTGAAATGGAAATATGAAACCAATGGACATTTGCATTATAGACTAAATTTTGATCTATAAAACAAGTCTAGACAAAAATTTCATCACAGTTTGAAAGAGCATCACAAAATTAGTAATATTACAAAGTTTTGTTGCAAAATGTTGTAAAATGCGAATAATATAGCCTTGCAAAGTTTGCCGTTTTTCAGTCATTTTGCATTACGCGGGGGAAATTGACAGCCCAATACCCTTTGGGGCTGTCAATTTCCTGTTTGTAATACAAAATGACTGAAAAACGGCAAACTTCGCAAGGCTATATTGTCCGCATTTTACAACATTTTGCAACAAAACTTTGGAATATTACTAATTTTTGTGATGCTCTTTCAAGCTGTGATGAAATTTTTGTCTAGACTTGTTTAGATCAAAATTTAGTCTATAATGCAAATAGTGCATTGGAGACTACGGTGGAGAAATTTTACTCAGTGAAACATGCAAAACACAATAAAATTTTATTACAACTTGGCTATGTTTACATTGTACGGATGGCTTTCCATAGCAGCGTGAAAAAGCACCTATCTGATACGGAATGTACAACTTTCAGAAGCTGAGCAAAACAACATCTCTCTGTTGCAACAAGTCCTCTGAAAATACCGGGTGTCCCAAAAAAAAGTACTCCGGTTTGATTCGTAATAACTTCTAAACAAGTAAAGCTTTTAAAGAGAAATAACTTGCATCAAATAGAGGAAGGACTAACTTAGATTTTGATATATTACAGTTGTATTTCACTTAAAAATTCACGGAGATATTAATCTTTAAATTCGGGAGGATATTTCTGGATGTGTCTGAAATATGCAAAAAGCGGCGTATCAAATATTAATCAAGATTTGCCCGACTGAAACATGCACTATTACCAGTAAATAAATGACACTTGACAAATTGTTTATTATGAAACAAAGTATTATTATCTACAAAATACAAACAAGATTTATTCATCCGAAATCCGCATGTGTTCCTAGCACGAATATATACGTTTCCTTATTTCATGAGACCACTGCATCGCCAAGGATCGTCATGGATCGTTCGTAGTTCAGAATTAGGGCATGCTGTCACAATGGAATTGTGAAGCTCTTCTAACTTCTGCAACGTTCTGAAATCTTGTTAAGAACACCCAAACTCTTTTGCCTTTTCTTAATCTTGGCAAGTTCAGAATAAACTGAGAATGAAACACAATCAAACCATACAACTCCATAAGACATAACAAGCAACTCCCCAGAGACATCCAACATTTTTGGAACAAAACGTAAATAGTAGCGTTGATACTGTGATGCATGTGTATTTGCAAAAAGCAATATTATTTCCTTCATTAAAGAATAATATTCACCCTGCTCTAACCGAGGAATAATCAACTCTGTTTTGAACCCATGAAAAACATAAAAACTTAGGCTATTTAAGAAAAATTTAAGCGTCTGCCTTGCATGGTCTTTCATGTACCCTTTAAGTTTGTAAAGACCTATTAATTAAATACTTGCATAATTTCAAGCGTTCATATTTCAGGAAACAATGAGCTAAGACTTACATGTAAGATGTCTAAATCTACGCCATATCCCTTACAAACCCTAACGACAATTCGCTGAAATACAAATTATCCTGATATGTCATTAAGCAAACAAACGCTGGAGTTAATATTTGATATGCCGATTTTCGCTAATTTTAGACACATCCCAAAATATGCTCCCGATTTTGAACATTAATATCTCCGTGAATTTTTAAGTAAAATACAACTGTAATATATCAAAATCTAAGTTAGCCCTTCTTCTATTTAATGCAAGTTATTTCTGTTTGATAGCTTTACTTGTTTTGAAGTTATTATAAATCAAACCGGAGTACTTTTTTTTGGGACACCCGGTAGTATCCAAAAAGGTACAGACAGGTGTTTTTTCACCTTGTTACGAAAAGCTATCCAGTACAATAGGGCCATTTATACGAGCGAAAATAAGCTGCGGCCTAAATAAGCCAGGGCTTAAATAAGTCGCGAACGACTCGCATAAACAGTCAATTTGTTCGCAAGCCGTGGCTAAAATAAGCCCAGGCTTGAAAGCTAGGCCTAAACTAGCCGCGGCTTATTGCAAATTGCAACAGTCGTTCGCGACTTATTTAAGCCGTGGCTTATTTAGGCTGCAACTTATTTTCGCTTGTATAAATGGCCCTAATGTGAATGTAGCCTAAATGGTGATCTGTCTTAATGCATCTTAATGCTGGATGTATTTAAGGAGAAATTTAACTGTATCACAGTCAAATCTCCACACACGGACACCTCTACTTAGCAGACAACCCTTTTAAGCACACACAAAACTCTATTGTAATGCTGTCACTTGCAACTGAGGATAAACGGTCTCAGATAAATAAAACATTGTCTATTCTCATGACAAAGTTCAATGTTTTTACTGAGAAAGTTCAATGTTTGTGACATGATCATTTGATGTTTTCAATTCGCTCAGCCAATCAGCTTGGAGCTGGTTGAACGTCTGTCTTGTGCTCTTGACAAACATTGAAGATTCTCATGTGAATAGGCAATGTTTTTACGAGTAACTTAGTTGCAAGCGACGGTAACCCCTAATAAGCAGGCATCTTCTTTAAACAGACACATTTGTGAGGTCCCAAAGGTGTCCACTTAATAGAGGCTCAAGTTCATTTATTGCAGCCAAATTTGCTTATCAAGGATGACTCTTGTGCATTTATAACAAATAATTAAAACATACTTACGTTTTGTAAATATCGAAATATAAGGTTCTATATGGAAGGAAATTATTAAGGAAAAGCTCTATATAAATATCTCTTTCCAGCACCAGAAAAAATTACCAATTTTCAAGCTCCGACCATATTGCACACTACACTTTAATGGAGTAGTAGTGGACTAGAATTTCACTGCCGTAAAGCCAAATATCTCACAAATAACACAAAAGCAACAAATGACAATACACAACACACGTGCTTTTAGGTAACCACAAGTTACAAAATATGTTTCAACTTTTCAACCAAAATTCGTCGTTACAAATATTACAAACATCAGTAAAAGGATACAATTGGCTGCACCATAACCTTCTGTACTTTTTGAGTCTTGTACGCCATTATTCCGCCAGTAAATAAGTCAAAAAATCGCTTTTAAAAATCCAAAATTTTGCTTGATCTCAATACACGAACATGGAGCGTTTTTCGGATTCTGCGCCTGCGATTACCCCTTTTCTTCATCAGCGGTTATTTAGCCCGCGATTTATTCGCATTGCGGTTGTTCGCAAGAAAATACGTGGAAAAATAGGTTCGCAACACGTACACAGTATATTAGACTATGTATTGCTTTGTATAATTTGCTATAAAGGTGTTGAAAACCTGATTTATACCAGACTAGATTTATACTGATAGACAAATATTGAAAGGGATAGTTAGTACATGACAGTACATGTGTCTTTCATCTCAGAATTGCGGTTTAATTCCTGCAAGATGCACTTTTACATCATATGAGAAGAGTGCTTCCACTCTACCTAAACATAAACTTATTTGTTCTGGATAGCTCTATCATTTCTAAACTGTTCTCCCTAGAGGTCCAGTAGGAATCCTATCTCTTATTGATCCAGTGTTACTACAGCAGGAAACCTAAACTAAACTAACTTTAATTGTACTGGATAATTCTGTCAGTTCTAAACTGTTCTTCCTAGAGGTCCAGTAAGGATCATCTCTTATTGATCCAGTGTTACTACAGGAGGAAACATAAACTGAACTAACTTTATTTATACTGGATAGCTCTATCAGTTCTAAACTGTTCTTCCTAAAGGTCCAGTAAGGATCATCTCTTATTGATCCAGTGTTACTACAGGAGGAAACATAAACTGAACTAACTTTATTTATACTGGATAGCTCTATCAGTTCTAAACTGTTCTTCCTAGAGGTCCAGTAAGGATCATCTCTTATTGATCCAGTGTTACTACAGGAGGAAACATAAACTGAACTAACTTTATTTATACTGGATAGCTTTATCAGTTCTAACTTTTCTCCCTAGAGGTCCAGTAAGTATCATCTCTTATTGATCCAGTGTTACTACAGGAAGAACCGGAGAACCAGGAGAAAACCTGTGGTGTTTCAGGTTTCCTCCGGTAGTAACACTGCCACTGGATCAATAAGAGATGATCCTTACTGGACCTCTAGGAAGAACAGTTTAGACTGACTGATAGAATTATCCAGTACAAATAAAGTTAGTCTAGTTTAGGTTTCCTTCTTAGTAAGTTAGTAACAGTGGATCAATAAGAGCCAGTGATCCTTGCTGGGCCTCTAGGAAGAACAGATTAGAACTGATAGACTTATTCAGTATAAATAAAGTCAGTTTAGTCTGGGTTGCCTCCTGTAGTAACACTGGATCAATAAGAGATGATCCTTACTGGGCCTCTAGGAAGAACAGATTAGAACTGATAGACTTATCCAGTATAAATAAAGTCAGTTTAGTCTGGGTTTCCTCCTGTAGTTACACTGGATCAATAAGATATATGACACTTAACTATTGGACCTCTAGGAAGAACAGTTTAGAACTGACAGATATTGGTTTGCAATAATATGAGTAGCTTAATTTAGTTCGTTTGATGATTCCTTGGTGTGTAAAGGAATCATTGGATGAACCATCCGTCGAAAAAACATTACTGCAAATCTGTGTTTATCCAGAATAGCAAAAGTTAATGAAATCGCGTCTGCTGGTCAAGAATTCAGTGTGTCTATAAATTATAAATTATAATATTAAGTCGTAATGAAGTCTTTAAATTAAAGATTACTTGATATTTGCGCGCTGCGGCAGAGCTGTGGTAATCAAATGATAAGATCTCCAAGATAATTTCCAGAAATGCGAACTATTTATAGATAACATTATAAAAAACTGTCAACAGCCGAAATTAATGTGAGATCCCATTACCGCACCAACCCAGAAATATATGTAGTTACTGCCTTCCATTTGTTATCGTCCTGCGATTCTTATCGTCTAGCCCCTGCTTTGCAGGCTACAACAAGTTTGCAAAGGTTGAAATGGTGCCGTAGAAAAATTGAAGCTTGTAAAAATTTGATAAACAGTATTGTGTTGACAAACTTGTTGAACTGTGGCCCTGGCTTCGTTAGTAACTTGTATCTCTAAAAAATCTTGTGTTTGATCTTCCCCGACAGATTCTTAAATTAATGACTTCGTATGAAATATACAAGTTAATTAAAAAGCGCAGTTCGTAAAGTACGTATGGCGTTATCTATAATCTCTAAACTATATTCATATATATTTAATTTTAAGCTTTCCAAAAAGGTTACATTTCAGGGAAGAAGTTATTTCGCTGACCCCAGAAAGACATTTCGTCAAAAGTTTTTTCTTCAAGATTGGTTTAGAAACAAACTTGGAGTAGGGTTAGGCTAGGAATAATTGCGGGAACCACTGAATATTTTCATAAAATACAATACAACGGTAACTCCGAATAAAGTAAGCATTTTGATTCAACGTTTCGACTTTATTTAGTCACATCAGGAATGATTATATTACATGTTAACCGTGGTTATATATACTCTACGTAATTTGATATATAATTAAAAGAAAACAGATAGTTCTCTGGATGCTTTAGTGCCATGATTCAGTTCCGGTTTTTGTCGATGAATGGCGAGTGCTTCTTTGAACAGCAGATTTGACCAGTGCTTAGCCCTATCTATGATGTTGCCTTCCTACTGAACAACTGCAACATCATAGATAGGGCTAAGCACTGGTCAAATCTGCTGTTCGTTTTATCACTCTGAGGCCAGCGAAATAATCTCTTCCATAATTCAGTGCTTCGCCATACAAGATATTGAATGTCTACAAAAACACGCCACTTCAATATTTTTGCATTTTATCTCAGTTTCCGCATCAGATAATTATAATGCGAAGTGAGCAGTATGTTTTTACGCAAACTAATTTACTCGATGTTAATGATGTTAACGATGTTAATTATTTTGCATCCGATCAATGAAATAAATACATTCCCATTAGGAAACATATTATATAAAAAATCTGTTCGTTGTTTTTTTTATAGAAAATTGGTTCCTCAATCACATATTAATGTAGTTCACTTTTTTTTACAACTTTTTTAAAAATGCGTTTGTCTCGCAGGAACAGCCCCGCATGCCATCCCCGGTTTGCTCTTTATATACGATGACGCACATTGTCAGCGCTAAAAATGTTGATTTACTTGCGTGCTGAGAAGCATCAGAAACTAATCTTAGGTCAAAATATTTATACTTCATAACTGTATATTCGAGGCTAACTCCATATGGGTCAATATAACATTCAAATTCTTGTCAGAAACTGATAAATCATGCTACAGCGAAAGACGCGCACTCAGAAACGGAGCCGAAAATTCATCAGCTCTTAAATGTAGCGTAGTATTCTACAATGAGTTCTCGTGGTGTGCGTCTGAACTCAGAGTAACACCACAAATATCATATTCACCTGAGTACACTACACCAACACAGAAAAAAAATTCATATAACTGAAAAGGATTGGGTGATTTGGGTCCCCACGATTAGATCCCCTTTTTCAGGTGGTTCAGACACAATATTGTAGAATACTACCTACAAGCAGTATCACCACGGTTTTAGATCTATTTTTCAGGTAGTTCAGACACAAACCACGACAACTTATTGTAGAAAACTACCTACACTGGACCACCACGTTTGAGATATCTTCATCAGGTAGTTTAGACACAAACCACCATTTTAACCATGACAGCTTATTGCAAAATACTGCCTACACTGGATCACCACGTTTGAGATATCTTCATCAGGTCAGTTCTAACACAATCACAAAAAACTGAGCTTATTGTAGAATCCTACGTACACTGGACCACCACGTTTGAGATATCTTTTTCAGGTAGTTCAGACACAAACTACGACAGTTTATTGTAGAATACTACCTACACTGGACCACCACGTTTGAGATATCTTCTTTAGGTAGTTCAGACACAAACCACGACATCTAATTGATTGTAAAATATCACCTACACTAGACCCCAACATTTGAGACACAAACTAGGCATGATGAAGCTATAACCTCTTAATAACATCAATCGTGGTAGGTTTTTGCTTTCTTAAGCGGTCAAGAATTATCCAAGGCTGGGGCAAACTAACGAACGTTGCAGTTTATTAAGGAACTTATTGCCAACTTTCTGGCACACAATCAGCTTGATTCCTTCACGAATCCGCGTTTTTCTCATGCATATCCCCATACTGTCACCCCATTATAATATGACATGTAATTTAAAAGATAACAAATTTATCATTCGCTGTCATCAGCACGAAAAACTATAGCAAGATAACATCACGTTCTCATAGTTTTCATTAATGAAAACACCTCAAAATACACACGCCTTCCAATTTCTGGTCACGTCTGGTTAAATAAAAAATGAAGGAGTAATTTCGTGGGAAATTGCTTGGAAACCTCGACTCACACAAGTCCAGACAAAGCAACATTGCATTTCTCCATTAAGCTGTTAATGGTACGCATCATCATTTGTTAATAATTTGTAAAAAGAAGGTAATATATTTTTTATATTAAGCGACGCTTTCGTCTTCGTATATGTCTGTGTTTACTGCCAACTCACACGCCGAAAGGACGTCTTTTGTTTAGCTTTGCTTGATACAGGTGTTTTCAGGATTGCAAATCAGTCTGGGTACTTGAACGCGTGAATTTGACTCATTAATAATTTACTAATAATTGTGTTCAACTTCCCAGTCATTATATAAGCAAGACTGTGCTGAGTGGATAAGGTACTCGGGTGGTCCACACAACAAAGGAGAACAGTTTTGGTTTGGAAACGAACAACATCCACAGAGATGAATAATTCGTCTGCTGCAGGTTTTACCCAACCGATCTACTCGGACGCAAGCATAATCGGTCAGATTTGCTTCAGCATCATCATAGTGATCGCAGCTCTCTTAGGAAACACGATGGTCGTCGTTGCTGTTTGTTCCACTAGAAAACTCCGAAAGCCTACAAATTATTTCATTGTATCGTTAGCCGTGAGTGATATCTTAATTGCGGCGACGATTGTTCCGTTTCGCATTCATCATTACGTCAACTCGATGGTGTGGGATTTGGGCCCTCAAGGATGCGAAATATGGATGTTTATGGATTTTTTATGCAGTGCAGCTTCTACTACAAACGTTGCTCTGATCGCTATAGATAGATTCCTAGCCCTATCATATCCTTTCAAATATCAGAGACTCGTCAACGGGAAACGGGCAGCAATTGCTATAATTTCGGTCTGGTGTTATGCGGCCGTCCTCAGCTCGTTGTCGCTCACAAAATGGTCTGACGATGCCAAGTTATATCACACTCCTGCTTGTCTAAAGATCGACAAGACTTATTATCTGGTCGTACCCATTCTTGGTATATTTCTTCCGTTAGTCATTCTAGTTGTTGCTTATTCGATGGTGTTTAATCTTGCCTTTCGTCAAGCAATGATGATCAAGGCTCACTCAACAGTCAAATATGATAAATCTGGCACAAAACTCGACAAATCTGCGCAAACGAGAATGCTAATCCGTGAACTGAAAGCCACGAAGACGTTAATGATCGTTGTGGGGACATTTCTTGTTTGTTGGCTTCCGCTCTTCGTCTTGTTGTTGATTCTGCAACACTGCCTGAAGAAGTGCATCTCTCAGAACTTAAGTATACTGGCGCAGCAGATTATTGGCATAATATTTGTCTCTACTTTGCCCCGTATAAGCAGCGCTGCGAACCCAATAATTTACTCGGTTTTCGACCGAGAATTCCGTGCAGTCCTCTGCGTGTTTTGTGATAAGATTGCGCGCGTTTTACCGCGGGGAAACGTGAGAGACGGTGTGGTCCCATCTAGGAATCGTGCAGGTTTCTGTGGCTTGCGCACTACTGACTACACAAGTTCAACTTATGATTCTGCTGTGACCTACGGAGCAAGTGATTATCTCGGAGTCACTTCTGCAAACATTAACAGTCGTTCACCGTCTGTATTTGCTTACAAATCGCCCGAGATATGCTGCCATGAAACGGCCGTTTAGAAGTCGCATATTTTGCGCGGAAAACGTTAAGTATACTACACCAGTTATAACCGTTTAACTTAATAAACTTATATTTGAACGCTCAACTAAAACTTTTGTACATAAACTATGATGTATTCTAACGTAGTTTATATATTAGTGTAACTTTTGCCTCGACAGGCTTAAGTAAATATGAGTAATCGTAAATAATATATAACGCGTGTATAAAACAAGCCATGTGTCTGAAAATATTAATCAAAGCGAATCCAATCAAATTTTGCATTTCAAATTCTGTTTCAATGATCTCGCTCGATGTTACAATCTCGCTATCCTTGAAAAGTTAGAACAAACCGGAGAAAAATTATTTTCTAAACTGAATCGTGGTCGAGGGGATTTAACAGAAAATTACAAATTTTAATTAAGAATTTTATTAACAAATTTTCGAGGGGAGTTATTACTAAACCACACGCTCGCGTAGTTTAATTAAAACCGGCCAACGTTTTCTTTCACGGCTATAACGGCGTGTGCTTGGCTGGATGGCGGATGACCTCGTCAGTTTCTTGATTGGGCTGAGCCATTGTAGATAAAAAGTTATAATATGATTGCTATTGTAATATAATGATTATATTGTCAGCTGCAGCAGAGTATTAATATTGGCTCGGCCGTGTATTCCATAGTGACTGATCGGCGTTTGGCAAGACATGTTGTATATGTTGTCCTCGCATCTGCAGACCTGCAATAATTATTCTTCTTGGAAAAATGTTCGGCCAAGACGAAAAGTGGTCAGACATTTACATGGACAAAGTAAAATTTTCCATATTCTCGTTTCTGTATGAAGGCAGGGCTGCAAATCACCGTCGGACATCGGACAATGTCCGACTAAATTTGGCAAATGTCCGAGCAAAAGTGATTTTGATCGGACATTGGTCCGATCACACAAAACAAATTGTCACATTATACATTTTTCGCTGTGACAAAATCCGATTGCAAATTCACTCAATTTGTATTTTGCAATAAAATTTACTAGGCGTTCTAGCATTTTACTTAACGTTGCGCCGGAATGGCATACATACTTGTCCTGTGACTTATAGCCTATATATCTTGTGACGTATATATGTCCGACCAAATTTAGTGATGTTGGTTTTTGTCCGACTAAATTCACGTTATGTCCGACCAAAATTAAAAGTGATCGGACAAATGTCCTGTCAAGTCAAATATTTATTTGCAGCCCTGTGAAGGTGATTTAGATTTGTATTGGTCGTTAAATCGTACGGTTTAATGCAGCGATATTGTTTATATTGCTTTGGTTTGGTTTCAGTAATAAAAAAATGTGTTAAAAATCCATTTTTGAGATTGGACATGTCACCAGCCTAAATCAGTCGGTCACGTGTCTGGTCATAAAAGGCTTTGGTCGGACAAAACTCGGTTAAAATTTGGCGGTTTTGGCCAGACATTGTGGCCGATGACCGACACTAATTTGCAGGCCTGCATCTGCTATTCACTGTACACGATTCAGATCAACTAGGGCATCTGTCTCAGGTCTGGTGTACACTATCAACTGAGTTTCTGTGATCACAGTAGGAATTTTTCATGGGTAAATTCTAAGTTTTGAAGGATTTACAAGAAATGTTTGTGCGAACTGACGCAGTGTTAAACAATGAGCCAGTTCCCTCAAACATTTCTTAAAAATCCTTCAAAACTAAGAGTGAAGTATATGTAAAATTCCTAGTGTGATGACAGAAACTTTGAAAGTGTAACTCAGCCTAGTGTGACAAGACGAAATATTCATACGAACTAGCTAGAATTATAGACATTATTTCATCAGTCAAGACAATTTTCACAAATTCTAAACACCACCCGGCCACACTTATCTCGCGGTTTGTTCAACATCGTGAACCGCAGTCTAATTCTCTGAATAAATACTTGAGAATGTCTGGCATTTGGAGACAAATCAAATAGACCGTTAAGAGATGTAGTTTATAAACTCTCTCATATAAACGCTCTCTTGCTAACTCTCGTCAGCTCTCATCCAACCTGCCACGGCCGACGTCGTTTCAAATGCCTTTCTCGGGATGTCTAGGCGCGCTAGTAAAGATCATGAGCGAAGTGCAAATGATAGTCACTATAAACAACACCAAGAACGATCTATCTGCTACTTTCGCCACAATTTCCCACTCGTCAAGGACTGCCTCTTGTCTCTCGCGATCATACTCCCGCTCCGCCAAATATTTAATATGGCTTAGTAACCGCTCTTGTGTATTACTAGCTCCCATGCCTCCACGGCATGAGCAATGTATGGTCACGTGACGTTCAGTATCAGAGTCCGAGTTATTATCCGGAGAATGGTGACGATATATGACGTCATCAGGTGAGTCCATGACGTCCCTTCGAATATGACCGTTCATTGGTCGATGATTATGATTAGGTAAGGTCTGAGTTAGCAAAAATCCCTCGTGCTTAGTCTCCCGTGGTGACTGTTGCGGTTTTGATGCTCTGGAAGATTTTCTCTTTTTCGGCGTCGCAATGAGAAGGAGTGGGGCGAGTACGTCGATTGCGAGAATTCGAATGAAACGCGGCAATGAGAGGGCATGCCGAGTCGAGTGATACACGTTCAGAATAAGACACGTGATCACTAACGCAAGTCCTATCTCCAACATTGAAGCCATGAAAAATTTCGCGATCATCGGCGTGACATCGGAATTCGTCGGCGTGTTTTCGGCGATCATGAGCATGAAAACAGTGAGTGATAATAGCGTGGTGATGACCAAGGTCACTCTCTCTCCTGTGGTGGGAGGCAGAATAAAGGTGAAGAGTGAAGCAAGAGTTATGAGGACACACGGGACCACAAGGTTGTTCAAGTAGAATAACATTTTGCGGCGAAAATGAATGGTGAAGACTAAGTTTATATATGGCTCGTCACAACAGCTAGAGAAGAAAATATGTTGGAAAGGAATTAAGGATCGGGTTGATTCAGGAAGCAAGAGATAAAGTTTGGGTAATCCTTACCCTGAGCTGAGTATTGAACCAAGTTGAACTGTCGAAGGCAGGGCGCTTGTTAAAGCCCGCCGGGTTAGTTTTTAGTCTTAAAATTGGCGACATCAGGACCTCTCTCTAATATACGCATCTTCATAATACGGACACCTCTCTAATACAGACACCTCTCTAATACGGACATCTCTCTAATACGGACATCTCTCTAATACAGACACCTTTCTAATACGGACATCTCTCTAATACGGACACCTCTCTAATACAGACACCTCTCTAATACGGACATCTCTCTAATACAGACATCTCTCTAATACAGACACCTCTCTAATACGGACATCTCTCTAATAAAGACATCTCTCTAATACAGACACCTCTCTAATACGGACACCTCTCTAATACGGACATCTCTCTAATACGGACATCTCTCTAATACAGACACCTCTCTAATACGGACATCTCTCTAATACGGACACCTCTCTAATACAGACACCTCTCTAATACGGACATCTCTCTAATACAGACATCTCTCTAATACAGACACCTCTCTAATACGGACATCTCTCTAATACAGACATCTCTCTAATACAGACACCTCTCTAATACGGACATCTCTCTAATAAAGACATCTCTCTAATACAGACACCTCTCTAATACAGACACCTCTCTAATACGGACACACATCTTTAATACAGACACCTCTCTAATACGGACATCCCTAACACAGACATCTCTCTAATATGGACACCTCTCCAATACAGACACCTCTCTAATATAGGCACCTCTCTAATACAGACACCTCTCCAATACAGGCACCTTTCTAATACAGACACCTCTTTAACACGGACATCTCTCTAATACGGACACCTTATTAATACGGACACACCTCTATAATACGGACACCTCTCTAATACAGACACACCTCTTTAATATGCACACCTCTCTAATACGGACGCCTCTCTAATACGGACGCCTCTCTAACACGAACACCTCTCTAATACGGATAAAATCTTCTTTGTTAACATACCTGTAGTTTGAAACTTTTCTGTCGGCAGTAAATGTGATCAGCTCAAATTCTCCACTACTTTGATACTTCTTAAGATCAGTGCTACCTTCCATCAATTTAAAATCCAGCTGCAAACCATGATACGTCCACGAGCCAAAACGTAGTGTGCAAGTTTGCTCATCAAATGGAAAATATTCTATATCGACTTGACAAAAACTTCGCAAAACTACTGGAATGAACCACTCGCTTTTACCATTGGAATGGATAATCACTTTCTTCTTGAAGCTGTCTGATAAATAGCCGCTTGCACTGGAAATAAGAAAGTAACGTTAGAGGGTGTTAATGCTGATATGACAACGTAGGCAAGTTGTGTGCTTGATTTACACAATACAACTCAAGTTGTAAGCAGGTTGCATGCGACAGTTTTAGGCAAAAGTTGCGCAGTGTAAATCCGCCTTAACACTTCATCTCTTGCAGCTACAGCTGCATTAACCTGCGATCAGGCTCTATTTTACAAATAATAGCCTGACACAATCCTTAATCCGATCGCTTTCCACCCACAGGAAAGTTTATATTTAGTATCCAATCAAAATGTCGCAGGAGAAATTTAAATTTCACACAACGACAACAACAATCTAATTATAGTTGTGATCACTATAAATATATCAACGACAATATATTTAACTTACATTATTTATATTTAACTTACATTATTTGACATTTTTTGTAAATAATTGTTGTGTGTGACAAAATTTATTATTAAACATATAAACATATTAAACATATAATATATAATGAAATTAGCACCAACCAATCAAATGACAGATTAAAAAATCTTTTGTCTAGTAAACCAATCAGATTTACAACCGAAATACGGTTGTAAAAACATGGACGTTTGTTAAGATTTGTATCAGGCCTATTTATTTATTTATACGCCTGATCGCAGGTTACAGCTACATATACACGCTGAGTCCTGTATGATTCGTATTCTGGCGTCATCACTGCAGACGCCATCACTGCTGACGCCACCACTGCTGACGCCACAACTGCTGACGCCACCACTGCTGAAGTCCGACGCCATCACTGCTGACGCCACCACTTTACGATCATAGAGATTACAAATAACACTAGAGGAGGCATTGTAATCTTAATTCAGTAAAAAAAAGAGAACGCGACTATTGGGGGCAAATTCAAGTCCCGGATGTGTATTCGTGTTCCCATTGGTGACGAGTTTCAAATCAGCCAATGAGAGCACGATTTTATATCCGGGACTTGAATTTGCCCCCCATTAGCTGCGTTCCCAATTTTTAAACTCGATGCCTCCTCTAGTGTTATTTATAATCTCTATGTTTACGATCACATACGCCAGAATACGAACCGTACACGACAAATTGCAGCGTGTAAACGTACCTTAAGAACTGAACTGCGCCGGACGCAGCGGCTGAGTCAAAGGCTTACTAGGGAGTCTCTGACTGTCACCATACAAGCCATGTCTGGTCATGGAGCACAGCTAAGGTGGAATGGCTAGTTTTGAGTTAGTGAGGAAAATGTTATTTTATTCAAAAAAATTCAAGAATCACCTGTTATATAGTTCAATATCAGGCAGCCAGACCATGTTTGGTTCAACATTGATAGACGTAATACCACCAAATTCTGACGAATTCCATATCAAGAAACTGTTTTTCCATCGCTATATTGAAACATGTCAAACGTTTAGGAAAGTAGCCAATTAAACTAAACTAACTTGATTTATACTGGATAGTTCTATCAGTTCTAAACTGTTCTTCCTAGAGGTCCTGTAAGGATCATTTCCTATTGATCCAGTGTTACTACAGAAGGAAACAAACTATAAACTAACTTTATTTATAACTGTGGCAATCGATACACCAGGCGGAAATCTTAATCTTAATTTAAATCTTTTTTTTAATCTTAGTTATTTTAGTTATGTAATATTAACCTTAACTATACTAACCATGCACTTAACATTAATCTTTAATTATTAACTAGTTACTGACAAGTTGTTTTCCTTTCTTTCTATTCATTTGTTCTTTCAAACTACATGTAACCGTTTTTGTAATATTAAACCATTATTTTGTAAATATATATACCATACCCCGTAAGTTCATTTAGATTGCTCTGAAGATGTTGTATTGAAAACAACGAAACGTTAGCTAATTAATTTTTTTCCTTTTATTATGTTTGGGTTTGAAGTTATTTGCTGGGCTTTGCTCTTTATCTTTAAACTAACTTTATTTATACTGGAAAGCTCTATCAGTTCTAAACTGTTCTTCCTAGAGGTCCAGTAAGGATCATCTCTTATTGATCCAGTGTTACTACAGAAGGAAACATAAACTAAACTAACTTTATTTATACTGGATAGCTCTATCAGTTCTAAACTGTTCTTCCTAGAGGTCCAGTAAGGATCATTTCCTATTGATCCAGTGTTACTACAGAAGGAAACATAAACTAAACTAACTTTATTTATACTGGATAGCTCTATCAGTTCTAAACTGTTCTTCCTAGAGGTCCAGTAACTGATCATCTCCTATTGATCCAGTGTTACTACAGAAGGAAACTTAAACTAAACTAACTTTATTTATACTGGATAGCTCTATCAGTTCTAAACTGTTCTTCCTAGAGGTCCAGTAAGAATCATCTCTTATTGATCCAATGTTACTACAGGAGGAAACCTAAACTAAACTAACTTTATTTATACTGGATAGCTCTATCAGTTCTAAACTGTTCTTCCTAGAGGTCCAGTAAGGATCATCTCTTATTGATCCAGTGTTACTACAAGAGGAAACCTAAACTAAACTAACTTTATTTATACTGGATAGCTATCTCAGTTCTAAACTGTTCTTCCCAGAGGTCCAGTAAGGATCATCTCTTATTGATCCAGTGTTACTACAGGAGGAAACCTAAACTAAACTAACTTTATTTATACTGGATAGCTCTATCAGTTCTAAACTGTTCTTCCTAGAGGTCCAGTAAGGATCATCTCTTATTGATCTAGTGTTACTACAGGAGGAAACCTAAACTAAACTAACTTTATTTATACTGGATAGTTCTATCAGTTCTAAACTGTTCTCCCTAGAGATCCATGGAGTAAGAGTCATCTCTTATTGACCCAGTGTTACTACAGGAGGAAACCAAAGTACTTTGTGGACATACGGTGTCTGATAGAGTCAAGCTGAACAAGCATTCTATTCTTACAAATGTCTGAGGTGAAATTATAATGAGACAACTGCATATTGCTGAGGAATGAATCCCTGGATCACAGTGGTAAAAGAAACATGCTCTGACAAGGATAAAAACTTACAAATCGAAGCCACACGCTGGTTATGAGAATTTGATCTTTTTCATTCTATTAGAAATAGGAATGATTAGAAATAACAATAGCAAAATAGTGGAAAGTATCGGAAAGATATACGTGAAGCCCACTGAGCGTAATAGACCTTACCGATTATTCTCTCTTACCCAATGGCCTCGTTTTCGTGTCAAATACTTTCTCATGTTTTGTGCTTGGTAGTGTTGAAAGTTACTTTGTTATTGAGCCTAAGAACAGCGAGAAACAAATTCGTCCAGGAAAACATGGGAATATAAGCTTTATCTGCCACTGACATGCTAAAATAAGTTAACATGGAAACGAGGCGATTGGGTAAAAGAGAATAATCGGTAAGGTCTATTAATGAGAACGAATCTCACCAGATCAATTAACTGAGTCAATGCAATTCCCAAATAAACAGGCACAGGATTTTTCTTGTTCTCAACAGGACGAATGACATTACTGTAATTGTTAAAGAGAACATTGACGAGACGTTTCTCATCGTCTGCTATCCAATGAGCTTTGTTGTCATGAGCAGAAGTCAGCGGTAACAAGCAGAACACTGTATAGAAAGAAATGAAATTAAAAGAAAGCAAGGATTTACATGATCAGATACAGTATACATACATACACATTTAGTACCACCGCAAGGAAATTGTCAGTGAGCAGTCTCTGCCAAGAATGGAGGTTCAATCTGAGCTTCATTTGAGTGTCAATGCTGGTTTTGAATAGCTGGAGGATGAGTAGTCACATAGTAAGGTACTACACTAACCCTCCAGCTATTCAAAAACAGTATTGACACTCCAAGGAAGCTCGGATTGAACCTCCATTCTTTGAGTGTGAGTGAGCTTTTAGAATACAGGCGTTCTCACACATTTCTTACAAATTCTTCAAAACTAAGAATTTCCCCATGCAAAATTCCTACTACTGTGATCAGTTTCGTTTATAGTGTCTTTGCCTTCAAACAGACGGTATGGTCTGCCACAAAAAGTTCCCCCAGCCTCAGAAGTGCATTTTATCTCCTACTCCATTAACTCTGAAGATATCTCGAATATCAGACGAAACGTAAAGTAATGTTTTTAAATGCTGGGCATTAATATTTATAACAAGATTGCGATTTCCGCTTGGTTTATCCCTCGCAACTGTTCAACAAGGAATAGTAATAGGATTGAACGAGGAATGGATGATTTCAGCCATCGATTATTTTTTTATCTAGACAAGAAAGACGAAATCTATCATTATAGCTCAAAAGAGAATCCTAAAATTAGAAAAAATTGCAAAATTTGGTTGGGAAGTGTAGTAAAATACGAAAAATATAGCCCTGTGAAATTAACAATTATTACGTGCGGTAAAAATAACCACTTTCGGCTCTTCTTCTTAAGGATGTTCTTTTAAGCTATAATGATAGATTTCGTCCTTGTCTTGATCAAAATTAGTCTATACTGTAGAGCTGGAATCATCTATTAAATACAGCATCATACAGCACAAGATATGTTTTACCTGGAAACAGAAGAAGAAGAACTCTTGTCGCCATATCGCTGATCTAAAGAAGTAAAACGATGTATTTAGTAGAATTTTTTTTTTACTGAAGCGACAATTTTATTCAATCTACTGATAAATGTAGAGTTGAAGGGTTTTTATGTAGATGGACTAATTTCGAAAGGAAGATTATATACAATTTTAGACCGGCAGGAATAAATTTGTGAAATGATAACCATTTTTGTAAAATACAGTCAATTTAGATCCAATGGACCTATTCCCTAATGAACAAAATTTTGATCTAGACAAGTCTAGACAAAAATTTCATCACAGCTTGAAAGAGCATTACACAATTAGTAATAGTATTCCGAAGTTTCGTTACGAAATGTTGTAAAATGCGGGATAATATAGCCCTGCGAAGTTTGCCGTTTTCCAGTCATTTTGTATTACGCGCAGGAAATTGATACAGCTTTCTGAAAAAAGGTATCAATTTCCCGCGCGTAATACAAAATGACTGAAAAACGGCAAACTTCGCAAGGCTATATTATCCGCATTTTACAACATTTTGCAACGAAACTTCGGAATATTACTAATTTTGTGATGCTCTTTCAAAGCTGTGATGAAATTTTTGTCTAGACTTGTCTAGATCAAAATTTTGTTCATTAGGGAATAGGTCCATTCATTTGCGAATTCGCTTTAGAAAACGCCAGAAATGCCGATCACAGTAGGAATTTTGCAAAGGAAAATTTTAAGTTTTGAAGGATTTGTAAGAAATATTTGAGGGAACTGGCTTGGTGTTTAACACTGACTCAGTTGCCTCAAACATTTCTTACAAATCCTTCAAAACTTACGAATTTACCCATGCAAAATTCCTACTGTGATCACAGAAACTTTGATAATGTAAACCAGGCTTTAAAGTAAAAAAAACTACAAGGAATTGCAACAAAACTAACTGAAGATCTGACAACTCAAGTAAACAATTTCCTGGCCACAAAATCAAATAAAAGTGACACAATCACGCAAATGCGTTAGTGAAGTTTCAATAAAGCAGCACAAACTTACACAACCTTTTGTAAAATCCAATTCCTACATATTCCTCCTCAAAAAGCCCGTTTTAATTACTGAAATTCTGGCCAACAATCCAATGTATGATAAATTCACAATGAAGTAAGCGTACTTGGGCGTTTTATTTATATTCCTTATACAGTTTGCGGTTCTTCGCGGCTCATAGATAAAGCATACTTAAAATTTAACAGGTACATAAACGCAGGGAGTCTGCGCCTAGTCACAACTCCATAATTAGCTAAGGCAATTTTCTCGAAATGAGATAAAAGCATATGAATGGGAAAGAGGTATTATCGCATATTATCAAGTTGCTTATTTGCTTGACAGATCGATTAGCATTTTTTTCTTCAAAGCCCTGCGCCCTACCGTCCTAAACTTTCGATATTCGAAGAGATGTAAACGTTTTGTCCAACAATGAATATTTAATGAATGATAATATAAATATGATATAAACGGACTGAAACTATCCATTGTGAACAGTTTTAAATACATTAAAGAACGGGGTTTGGTAACTATATGGGCATTAAAATTATCTCTTATTCTAGTTATTGTATACTTTTGTTGATTTGTTTTTTTATTTTGCAACAGTACTTTGCAAATGTTTTATCGACAATGTTATAAATTCTTAATCAAACAGTGATATAAATATAGTTATTTTTCAACTATATCAGATTCAGACAGATAAGAGATGATAAGAATGGGCTCGATGGGATACGGTTTTTTGCCAAACACAATTTAGATCCAGTGGACCGGTATCATACTTGTCTATATCGAAAATCTTACAAAGTGCTCCAGATTTCTCTAGTGAGAGATACATCTTTAACCACTTATCTGGGACAGACATCTCTTCAAACCAACTAAAAACTGAACCGGGCTCAACCATACTAGGCTAACTGTAGTTATTCAGAGTTGAAGAACAGGATGGAGAACAGTGGGATTTTCAAAACAATGAAAAGACAATGGAACATTCTGATCACTGGATCATGACTGGATGACATGGAGAACAGTGGGATTTTCCAAACAATGAAAAGACAATGGAACATTCTGATCACTGGATCATGACTGGATGGCATGGAGAACAGTGGGATTTTCAAAACAATGAAAAGACAATGGAACATTCTGATCACTGGATCATGACTGGATGGCATGGAGAACAGTGGGATTTTCAAAACAATGAAAAGACAATGGAACATTCTGATCACTGGATTATGACTGGATGGCATGGAGAACAGTGAGATTTTCAAAACAATGAAAAGACAATGGAACATTCTGATTACTTGATCATGACTGGATGGCATGGAGAACAGTGAGATTTTCAAAACAATGAAAAGACAATGGAACATTCTGATCACTGGATCATGACTGGATGGCATGGAGAACAGTGGGATTTTCAAAACAATGAAAAGACAATGGAACATTTTGATCACTGAAACATGACTGGATGACATGGAGAACAGTGAGATTTTCAAAACAATGAAAAGACAATGGAACATTCTGATCACTGGAACATGACTGGATGGCATGGAGAACAGTAGGATTTTCAAAACAATGAAAAGACAATGGAACATTCTGATCACTGGATCATGACTGGATGGCATGGAAAACAGTGGAATTTTCAAAACAATGAAAAGACAATGGAGCATTCTGATCACTGGATCATGACTGGATGGCATGGAGAACAGTGGGATTTTCAAAACAATGAAAAGACAATGGAACATTCTGATCACTGGATCATGACTGGATGGCATGGAGAACAGCGAGATTTTCAAAACAATGAAAAGACAATGGAACATTCTGATCACTGGATCATGACTGGATGGCATGGAGAACAGTGAGATTTTCAAAACAATGAAAAGACAATGGAACATTCTGATCACTGGATCATGACTGGATGACATGAAGGACAGTGAGATTTTCAAAACAATGAAAAGACAATGGAACATTCTGATCACTGGGTCATGACTGGATGACATGGAGAACAGTGAGATTTTCAAAACAATGAAAAGACAATGGAACATTCTGATCACTGGATCATGACTGGATGACATGGAGAACAGTGAGATTTTCAAAACAATGAAAAGACAATGGAACATTTTGATCACTGAAACATGACTGGATGACATGGAGAACAGTGAGATTTTCAAAACAATGAAAAGACAATGGAACATTCTGATCACTGGATCATGACTGGATGACATGGAGAACAGTGAGATTTTCAAAACAATGAAAAGACAATGGAACATTCTGATCACTGGATCATGACTGGATGGCATGGAGAACAGTGAGATTTTCAAAACAATGAAAAGACAATGGGACATTCTGATCACTGGATCATGACTGGATAGCATGGAGAACAGTGAGATTTTCAAACAATGAAAAAACAATGGAACATTCTGATCACTGGATCATGACTGGATGGCATGGAGAACAGTGGGATGAACAATGGAACAATGACAAGACAATGAAAAATCACATCGTGTAGTTTCCTTTTTATAGTTTCCAAACCCACATAGTAAGTTTCCATTGTATGATTGTACGTGATCAAAGGGATTGCACAACCATTCATTGGCACTGCCTCGTACTCAGGCTCTTTAGTAATTAATAGCGTTCAGAGCTCTGGGTGAGCTAGGCGCGCGGGGTTCCACGCCCAGAGCTCTGAACGCAATTAATTATAAAGAGCCTGGGTAAGAGGCTGGGGATTGCATGATTCAGTTTTCCTTTGAGATCAGTGGAAAGCGACAAACCATCGACATTTTTTTCGGCTACGTGCGAAGCGGGTGGAAAGATCAGCTGGCATTTAAAACTCGACAACAAAATATAAATTTTGAAGTGAACCTTGACGGGTTTTAAACGTTTTAAAATGACTACTACGTTGTCGGAAGACTGGCAAATCGAGACAAAAACGGTGTTAGAAAGAAACAAGTTTATGTTCAACAAAAGTTTAATGAGCGATGTGACTTTTGTGGTCCGCGAGAGCGATGGGACGGATGAAAGAAATATGTATATCCCTGCCCACAAGTATGTGCTGGCGACTTCGAGCCCTGTCTTCTTTGCTATGTTTTATGGAAATCTTGCCGAGAAATCAAACGAAATTCATCTCCCCGATGCAGATTCGAGCAGTTTCTTGGAGTTTTTGAAATACCTGTATTCCGATGAGTGTAAACTGACGGTTGAAATCGCCATAGATGTACTGTATTTGGCAAAGAAGTATATAATACCCTACCTTGAGAAATTGTGCACCAGTTTCTTACAAGATAACATCACTGCGTCCAATGCGTTCACTCTGCTTTCGCAGTCGTTGAAGATCGGCGAAGAAGATCTGCAGAAGAAATGCTGGTATTACATCGACTCTCACTGCCAGGAAGCGCTTGCATCCGATGCTTTTTTGAATGTCGAACAAGCGATTCTACACAGCATGCTGGAATTAGAAACTTTAAATGTGAAAGAAATTAACTTGTTTCATGCGTTGGTCAAATGGTCCGATCATCAGTGCAAGGTGAAAGGGCTCGAACTAACGTCCGAGAATAAGCGCGCTGTCCTAGGTGATGCAGTGTACTGTGTGCGTTACCTGACTATGACGCAAAAAGAGTTTGCTGAGAATGTATCCAAAACAGCCCTACTTAATAAAGATGAAGTCATTGCCATTTTTCAGATGCTTAACGATGTCCCGCCATCCAATAGCGAGCTCCAAGCCACCTTAAGTAAACGGATTCAAGGAAAACCACGTCAATTGAAACCTACACAACGATGTTCTCGATTCAGCCAAGACCAGATCCGGACGTCTAAAACTCTCGGGGGTTGGCAATACACGTCCGGGCATCCGGACATCTTAAATTTCTCGGTAGATAAAGATATATACTTCCACGGCGTTCGGTTGTTTGGTGCCATAGGGCATAACAGCCGCTATACTGTGGAGTTGACCTTTAATAACGTCAAGGTTAATGATCGATTTTACTCTGAGAGAAAGAATACGCTGATTCCTGGTTTTGATGTGTTGCTACCATCACCTGTGGTCGTTAAGAAAGGTCAATGGTATGAGATATCAGCCCTGGTCAAAGGGAATGGTTCCTACTATGGCGAGCGTGGTGCAAGTTCTGTCAATGTGCTGGCGTCTCGTTCAATTTCCGCGATTGTTCGGACCTTGATGTTCCGAATAATAAGACGTTGAGCGAACGAGGACAATTTTATGAGATTCTGTTTTCCTTGTGCTGTTACCCGTAACTTTATCATACAGAGCTTGGGTTAAGCCGGTTTTCCTCTAGATGAATTTGCGAAAAACAAGAATTCGGCAATTCCAACTTTTTCACAGTGATTTTTTCACTAGCCAGTCACATTGCCAAATTCATGTTTTCGCATCACTCAAACAAATTTTCCTATTGGAAAACTGAGTTTAATGGCTAGTTATAAACATAAAAGAAAAATGTAATAAACTTTGAAAACAATTTCACCTTCAACAGTCGAAACTGTACCAATTGGTCATCGAGTTTAAGCATGGAAAGGGACAGGATTGTGTTTACATCAAATATTTAAACATTTGTACATAGGTCAGTGTGATATTCCCTAAATTAGCTCATCAGGTTTTTTGTCAAATGCATGTTGTATATTTTGGGTAGAATTGTATAAGTAGAGTAGAATGAACTAGTCATTGTAGTGGCTCTCAAAATATGAACTATTTACAAATTATTACAAAGTATTTGTTTGCTTACAGTAAAGCAATAGAATTGTATATCAGTAAGTGCTTACTTGAATAAAGTGTCTGGAAAACTACATTTGTCTATTAGAGAAGGATGAACTACAGTAACAAAAAGATATAGTTTGTCTACGTATGAACAGAACAGAAATGGTTAACAATCAGCCTCGTACAACCTTTTTGAATTAGCTGTACATAATTACAGTAATATCAAGTATAATTTGTTCCCAGAACCATTGCCAGTCTAATTCATGCTATTCCAGCTAGTTTGTCCAGATAGTTGATCTTGTGTTAACTAATGATCTGTCCAAGTGAGGGTGGGTCTCAATGGATCAATCAAGCCATTCAAATTGACAAGATTATTTTATGAAACTGTCCTTTGTTGGTCCAAGTATCATTTGTGGGAGAATCTGCATCATGAAATGTGACAGTGACGCCCTCCACCTTCACCGGGGCTATTTTATTAATACCATATCCACTTGGCGGCCCTCTTATCAATGCCGACATCTTCACAACTTTGTTTTGTTTTATTACGACAGGCAAATCCAACATGACACAATACCCTAGAAGGCCATCAGTCATCTTTTTCGACTTGTATGTGCCTTTAACTTTGACACCTTCAATTTGAAAGATAACTTTGTATTGGTTTTCCCACAAATCTCCAAACAAATGCACACCATGAAACAACACCTCTCTATCGACCGAAAAACACAGACAATCTGCTTCACCGTTATATTCCCAGCCCTCTGCTTTCCAGCTTCTAAATCTTTTAAACGCTAGCATTTCATAATTCTGTTTTCTAACACCAAGCTGCCATTGTAAACCTGGAATGTCAACGCCTTTAATCTTCTCCTGAATTGTCTCAATTTCTTTGGACGTCAATAGCCCTGAATCCACAACATATTTGGAAAACATTTCTTCGCTTATAGCCAAAAATCTTAAATCGTAGACACCTTCGCCGATAACAAATCTTCGGTTCTCAGTTGTTAGTTCTAAACTGTTCTCCAAACATTGAAACTCAATCCATTTCAAAACAGCTTTGAATAGTTCAATTTCTTTGATAATCAAGCTACTTCGCTTTAGTAAACAGGCCAATGTTTCTTGACGTATATTCAGAAAATTATCTAAAGTCAATATTTCTTTCAAGTGTCGGTCCACAACTTTCCAGCATTTCATTTCAAAGTCCTTTTCATCAAAATAAATAGCTTGTTCTAAAATAGTCAGCACGTTCTCAGGGTCCAACCCTTTTTCCAGGAAATCAACACACTCCTTGGTAAGTGAAGGTACGATGTATTTCTTAGAAAGATACATGACTGATATAACATTGTCTGTTGTCAAATTACATGCATCTGTGTAAAGGAACTTTAAAAATTCCTCCAGACTTTTCTCATCTGTATCGTAAAGGTGAAGAATTGAATTCTTCTCTGCCAAGTCGCCATAAAACATCGCATGAAATACGGCACTACTGGTGCCCAAGACATATTTATGGGCGTACAATATGTTGTCTGAACCTTCGCAAGTAAAGCTGATATCACTCATGTCTGAATTGTTGAACATATGACTGTTTCTTTCTAAGACCGTGTTCTTTGTTGACTGCCAGTCAATATCATATTGAAATGAAGCCATTTGAATTGAAAAGATTTGAACATTAGACAGGATATTGCCAATAAAAAAAGATAAACAAACTTTACATTTATTATTTAAATATTTAAATGTCCTCTTGTCTGTGCTTCCATGATATTCCAGTTTCTATTTTGGTTTTTAAAAAAAATTCCTTAAAAATTCCATGAACGAGAAGTTTTATAACAGACGAAGGCGTATCCGAGTGTTTTTTAAACGTTACGACCCTGATAAAATATTTTGCCTAACTTAATATTTATAAGAGTAGAGCAACCCAGTAAAATAAAGTTAGTTTAGTTTAGTTTAGGTTTCCTCCTGTAGTAACACTAGGTCAATAAGAGATGATCCTTACTGGACCTCTAGGAAGAACAGTTTAGAACTGATAGAGCTATGCAGTATAAATAATGTTAGTTAAGTTTAGGTTCCCTCCTGTAGTAACACTGGATCAATAAGAGATGATCCTTACTGGACCTCAAAGAAGAACAGTTTAGACCTGATAGAGCTATCCAGTATAAATAAAGTTAGTTTAGTTTAGGTTTCCTCCTGTAGTAACACTGGATCAATAAGAGATGATCCTTACTGGACCTCTAGGAAGAACAGTTTAGAACTGATAGAGCTATCCAGTATAAATAAAGTTATAGTTTAGTTTAGATTCCCTCCTGAGTAGTAACACTGGATCAATAATTAAGAGATGATCCTTACTGGACCTCTAGGAAGAACAGTTTAGAACTGATAGAGCTATCCAGTATAAATAAAGTTAGTTTAGTTTAGGTTTCCTCCTGTAGTAACACTGGATCAATAAGAGATGATCCTTACTGGACCTCTAGGAAGAACAGTTTAGAACTGATAGAGCTATTCAGTATAAATAAAGTTAGTTTAGTTTAGGTTTGTTCCTGTAGTAACACTGGATCAATAAGAGATGATCCTTAGTCCTTACTGGACCTCTACTAAGGAAGAACAGTTTAGAACTGATAGAGCTATTCAGTATAAATAATGTTAGTTAAGTTTAGGTTCCCTCCTGGAGTGACACTGGATTAATAAGAGATGATCCTTAGTCCTTACTGGACCTCTACTAAGGAAGAACAGTTTAGAACTGATAGAGCTATTCAGTATAAATAATGTTAGTTAAGTTTAGGTTCCCTCCTGGAGTGACACTGGATCAATAAGTGATGATCCTTAGTCCTTACTGGACCTCTACTAAGGGAGAACAGTTTAGAACTGATAGAGCTATTCAGTATAAATAATGTTAGTTAAGTTTAGGTTCCTTCCTGGAGTGACACTGGGTCAATAAGAGATGACTCTTGTTGGAGCAGTTCAGAACTGATAGAACTATCCAGCAAAGTTTCCTCCAATGAGGTTATGAGGGATGGCCCTGTTGACTGGCAATCAACAAAGAACAGCGTCTTGGACAGAAACAGTCATATGTTCAACAATTCTGACATGAGTGATATCAGTTTTACTTGCAAAGATTCAGACCAGACATTTTACGCCCACAAGTACGTTCTTGCCACAAGTAGTGCTGTATTTCATGCGATGTTTTATGGTGATTTAGCAGAGAAGAATTCAGTTGTTCATCTCAGTGATACAGATGAGAAAGGTCTGGAGGAATTCTTGAGGTTCCTCTACACAGATGAATGTAATTTGACAACAGACAATGTTATATCAGTCATGTATCTTTCTAAGAAATACCTCGTGCTCTCGCTTACAGAATATGTGAAAGCTCAGCTGGTAAGAGATACGGAACCGGGCAATGTATTGGACATTTTAGAACAGGCGATTCATTTTGAAGAGAAAGATTTAGAAGCAAAATGCTGGCAGGTTATCGAGTGGCGCACAAGCGAGGTTGCCAGGTCGGCAAACTTTATCAACATCAAACAAACGACTCTTGCCAGTTTACTGAAGCGAAACAATCTGACTATACAAGAAGTTGATCTTTTTCAAGCAGTGTTAAAATGGACCAACTACCAATGTTCTCAGAAAAGTTTAGAGTTGACGACAGAGAACAGAAGGTCTGTTATCGGCGAGGCTGTGTACGACTTCAGATTTAATTCGATGACGCAAGAAGAATTCGCAAAGCATGTTTCCAAGTCTGGTTTGCTTACTACCGATGAATTAGTCCCAATTTATGAAAAATTCAACAAAGTCGAGTCTTCGCTATTGAAGTGGAAACTGCCCGAGAGGGAAAAAGCGTTTAAAGCTACCAATAAAAACATTCGAATATCTAGATTTTCCGCTTTCTCCAAGAACGAATGGTCGACTTTCTGGCAATATTCAGTTGGTACCAGTTCCAGTGACGACGACTATTGTTTAGATTCACCTTCACCATCGGATCGGCAAAGTGATAGAGATTATCTGTCTTTTTCTGTTGATCAACACGCCTTATTTCTCGGTGTGCGGTTGTTTGCAGCATCACAGGTTGATTATGAGCACCGTGGAACTACGTATAAGGTGAATTTGACGGTCAATGGCGTTAGTGCAAACCCTTCTACAAACACCTGGGCAATCTCCACCACCTATAAATCCGACACAAAGGAACATGGCATTGCTGGTTTTGACGTGATGTTAAAATCCCCCATTTTAGTGAGAGAAAACGAAGTAGTGAGAATGGACGCCGGAATATTAGGTCCTCGTTCACATTATGGATGGCGTGGAGAAACAACAGTTAAAGTGCGAGGGATCACTGTAACATTCCTTGATCCCGATATTTGCACTTCACGTACTTGTGTATCTCGAGGACAGTTCTATCAGATAATACTCTCAGTTTAAGCATAAACTGTGGACAAAAGTTCATAGAACGACCCAGTAGTGTAACTTAACTATTTTTACTATGCAGTTGCCGCCACCAGGGCAAGTTGAACATAAAAATTGGTTGCCCGGAATAACGCTAACTTACCATCTAGTCGCTTATTTTAACTTAATGTAATTTTTAAATAACTTTTGTAACTTTTCTTCAATTTTATAAATAAATTTCGATACTTATTCCTTTTCATCGGGTCATTAGATTTGACAGTGCGATGGTGCGAGGCGTGTTATAAAAAGCATCTAAGGGAGTCCTAGCTATGATCACATCAGGCGAGTTAGAATATTAAACGATCATGGTGGGATTTGTACAATTGTACTCCATGCAGGTAGATCATATATATTGGATGATGTTCTCCAAGTGATGTCCACACCAGGCAAGTAGAAAACTACTTGATCATGGTGGGATTTGTACTCAGGTAGATTATAGACATTATATATATTGGATGATGTTCTCCAAGTGATGTCCACACCAGGCAAGTAGAAAACTACTTGACCATGGTGGGATTTCCTCCTGTAGTACGTAACACTGGATCAATAAGGGATGACTCTTGCTGCAACAGTTTAAATCTGATAGAGTTATCCCGAGTACAGTTTCCTCCTATAATAACATTGGAGGAAATAAAGGCCCTTACTTGGTTTAGAACTGATAGAACTGTTCAGTATTACTAGCATCATTTTGTTTGTGAAGTTCTCCTTATATTTTTGAAATTCTCCTTATATTTTTCAGGTAGTTGCATAGCAACGAAAGCTTGTTATTATTGGCATTACCTACACTAGCATAAACCAGAGGGCACAAACAGTTCAAGACATAAATAATGAATATATACTGCAAAGTTCTGCAAAGTATGATAATTGGAAACTATGGATTAAAATGACGTTTCACTCGAATCTTAAACACCTTACAGTGGTGTAACTTTACTTTCTTGACCACTCGCCCTCAGGGCAAGTTGGACATGAAAATTAGTTGCCCTTAATAAAATTCACTTGCCATCAGACAATGGCCACTGGGGTACCTAGGTAGGGGGTATAAATTAGGGAACAACATGTCGACCCGTTCTCCCACTGCGCTATATGGCTATGTTATACTGCTTCAGATCTAGCTAAAAAGTAATTGAATCAAGTGCATGTACTATAAAAACTTATCCGAGAATGAAAACATAAACTTAAAGATGCCCAGCTTTTTGTGGCAAGGCAACTTGCCCAATCGGGCAAGCAAGATAAAACGTTTGGCAAGCGGGCAAATGTTAAGTTACACCTCTGCCTTATAACTTATAACCTCGATATTAATAACGGGCAACGTGGTAAAGGTACGTGCACCATTATGTCTAAAGTGGCCCTGGTACTTAGTGTTTTAGCTATGGGTAATTTACATTACTGAATCAATATCATTTAACACTTCCGGTCTTTGTATGTGTTAGCTTCATACTGTAAAGCGTCCATTCCCTATTTGAAAATGGCTTCAGTTCAATCCGATGTTGACTGGCAATCGACAAAGAACACCGTCTTGGAAAGAAACAGTCATATGTTCAACAATTCGGACATGAATGATATCAGTTTTACTTGCGAAGGTTCACACCAGACATTTTACGCCCACAAATACGTTCTTGCCACAAGTAGTGCTGTATTTCATGCGATGTTTTATGGTGATTTAGCAGAAAAGAATTCAGCTGTTCATCTCAGTGATACAGATGAGAAAGGTCTGGAGGAATTCTTAAGGTTCCTCTACACAGATGAATGTAATTTGACAACAGACAATGTTATATCGGTCATGTATCTTTCTAAGAAATACCTCGTGCTCTCGCTTACAGAATATGTGAAAGCTCAGCTGGTAAGAGATATGAAACCGGGCAATGTACTCGACATTTTAGAACAGGCGATTCATTTTGAAGAGAAAGATTTAGAAATGAAATGCTGGCAGGTTATTCAGTGGCGTGCAAGCGAGGTTGCTAGCTCGGCAAACTTTATCAACATCAAACAAGCGACTCTTGCCAGTTTACTGAAGCGGAACCGCTTGAATATACCAGAAGTTGAATTATTTCAAGCGGTGTTAAAATGGATTGATCACCAATGTTCGCAGAAAAGCTTAGAGTTGACAATGGAGAACAGAAGGTCTGTTATCGGCGAGGCTGTGTACGACTTAAGGTTTATTGCGATGAATCAAGAAGAATTCGCAAAGCATGTCTCCAAATCTGGTTTGCTGATTGCTGAAGAACTAGTTCCAATTTATGAAAAAGTCAACAAGTTGGAGTCGCCGCTATTGAAATGGAAACTGCCTCAGAGGGAAAAAACGTTTAAAGCTAGCAATAAAATAATTCGAATATCTAGATTTTCCGCCTTCTCCAAGAATGAATCTTATTCGCCTTCCTCTTCCTGGCAATACAGTGGTCACCACGCGTCGTATGGACAGGGTCAGCCACAGGTTGATGTAAATAATAGAGATTACCTGTCTTTTGCTGTTGATCAATGCGCACTATTTCTCGGTGTGCGGTTGTTTGGTACAAAGGTACGCTCTGGACATAGCAATACGTATCAAGTGGATTTGACGGTCAATGGCCAAAGTGCAAACTCTGATACAAACAACTACACAAGCGCCACCAATTATCAGTCCGAAACAAAGGAGCATAGCATTCCTGGTTTTGATGTGATGTTACAATCCCCCATTTTATTGAAAGAGAACGAAGTAGTGAGAATGGACGCCGGAATAGTTGGTCCTCTTTCACATTTCGGATGGCGTGGAAAGCCTATAGTTAAAGGGCGAAGGATCACTGTAAAATTTCTTGATTCCAGTGATTCCTGTAGCTGCAATGCACGTACTTGTGTGTCCCAAGGACAGTTCCATCAGATAATACTCTCTGTTTAAGCGTGATTGGACATGTCAAGACTTCGGACAAGACTTAAATTGTTGAATATGCTCATGAATAATTTTAATCTTGTAAATATAATCTCGTAAATATAACCTTGTAAAATCAAGTTTTTTTATGTTGTTACCTTGCAAACAGTAACAAGTTAATTGATTATAACAGTAACAAGTTAATTGATTATGATTAAACACTTAATTAAAAAAATATCAAGTAAACCATGTTGAATATTCAGGGTACAGGTCATGTGCTGCAGTATTTATATAGCCAGACTGTAGTTATTAACATACAATCTAATGTGTAATGATTTAGGTAATTTAAGCATAACTATGCAGCATAAGAATATAGTTTACGTTCAGTCGTATTTTGTAGTCGAGATTTTGTAAAAAAGGCTTACTTTGCCTTTTTGTAGGCGAGACTTCAGTATTAAACAATTGATACAGTTTCTTATTCTTAATGTAATTTTTAAAATAACTTTTGTAACCTTTCTTCAATTTTGTGAATAAATTTTGATAATTGTTCCAGTTCACCGGGTTAGTAGTTTTTGCAGTGCGATAGTGCGAGACGCGTTATAAAGAGTTTCATGATGTCTACACCAGGCGAATAGAAAATTAAATGATCATGGTCAGATTTGTACAATTGTACTCAGGTAAGTTATATATATATATTGAGTGATGTTCTCCAAATGATGTCAACACCAGGCAAGTACTACTTGATCATGGTGGGATTTGTACTCAGGTAGATTATATATATTGAGTGATGTGCTCCAAGTGATGTCGACGTCACCAGAGAAAACTACTTGACCATGCATGGTGGAATTTGTACTTGGTAGTTGGTATGTTGGTCGATATCCGCCGAGTGATGTCCACGCCAGACAAGGCAGAAAACTACTTGACCTACGCGACGAGATTTGCATTTCATTTAAAATGCAATAAAACACTGTATCATTCATTCAGCGTCCGCGTTGCCAAGCAATGACAATTAGTCTCGAACTTTTCTTCTCATATTACAAACACACAAAGATCAAACTATAGTTTTATTTATCCAAGGATAAATGCTAAACCCTTAGGATATTTTTATTATAAACCATGATCCACCACACGGAATGACCACTGACACGAAAGCTAACTTTACTAAAATGTCTGCGGTGAAGGCCGGTACAAAATGTCCATGAAGACACAGTATGTTAGCGAAGACAGATCAGAAAGACATTGAAAGACCTTTGGTATCGTTTGAGAAGCATAAGCCCTTAACAACAATAGATTTTGAGCAACAAATTGATTATCTCAGCGGTTGGATTACGGAATGGAACAGCACAGAGGTATTATGTCGACTTGTATTGTTATATTGATAAATGATAGCATATTGTATGGCGTTGTTTGAATTAAATTTTATGATATTGTGGGGTTGTTAATAAGGTATAATTGTTACTTTATTATACATTATTGTATAATTCAGAATTGGTTGTCTGTGTAGACTGTGTAGAATGTGGTTTTCAAAAACATATACTTCATCAATTATGTAGCTTTCAAAGTCATCACACATCCCGTGCAAACGGCTTGGGAGGGATGTTTTAATTTGTGTTAGCAAAAACACAATTCGTTGTGATGCCATTTCAATTTGAAATTTGAGAACGGGAATATAAATAAAATGACAACCATTTTCCGTTTTCTGGGAATACGACAGTCATGTCTTCTCACATTTCAAAGAATATTTCGGAGAATATTTCACCATTCTTCTTAAAGTACAAGCGGCAAGGATTATAGTAGCCTCTTCTCACGTGTGATTGTAGACTTAGATCAGAGAGTTTAAGATGTGGTAAATCTAGGGCGCGAACGTGACAAAAAAACACATCCTAAGTTCGCAGTGTCAGCAACACGGGTAAAAAATATGGATTCTTTTTGTCAACCAAGAAGGACACAGGTGAAAAACAAATTTAAACTGGTGACAAATCCAATAGAATAGCATAAGTACACTGTAAACTTCAAGGAGTCTAATCAACTCCAAAAGTGTTATTCTGTAATCGTTTTAGACCGTTTTTGGTCCAAAAGTGTTATTCTGTAATCGTTTTAGACCGTTTTTGGTTACAGAATAAAACTTTTTGAGTTGATTCAACTCCTTGAAATTTACAGTGTAACTGTCTTTTTGTCATGTCCGCGTACTAGATAATTTAGCTCATCTTAAGTTCGCTTATATTGCAGAAAACCTCTTAAGTTGGCTCATAACCACTCAGACAAGTGTTTATTGCAGAAAACCCTGAGCATAGAAGCGAAAAACACATCACTAACTACAGTACTACCTACATCCCATTGGATTCTGTTGCAGTTTTGAATAATTTAATCATCCATACCTTCAGTCAATTTTTCCTGTTTTGGCAGCCATTGTGTTGTCATCTATCCAATAACGTTAAGCTCTTAATCCTGATTTAATATCTCTCCGTTGACAGAGGTTCTTCTTTATTGACAAGTTGCTATCAAAATGCGAGAAAGAACAAATTCAGCTTTGTGGACGGTGAGTATTGAGGCATATTATATATAGCAGAGTTTCACTAAACACTCTCGTGCAGCAGATATGGCGATCAACCTGCACAGGGTTCGTAGTCTCCAAGACCAAAAAAAAATCAAAGATTTTCAAAGATTTTTTCTGCCTATTTTCAAAGACTTTTCAAAGATCTTTGAGAGCAATCAGCTGTCGAAAAATTGCAAGTGTAAGCATCATTTTTACCCAGTAATTAGTCCCGTCAAATCACATCCTAAAATGCGCATTTTCGTCGATATTTGCGAAAATCTTGATTCAATCAATCAATTTTATTAGCTAGGAAATCGTATAATCAATTCCTCACTACAGAATTTAAAGACTTTTAAAGACTTTCTTCGCTTTTTCACACAATTTAAAGACTTTTCAAAGACCTCAAAGACCTGCATTCCAATATAAAGACTTTCAAGGATTTCAAAGACCGCTACGAACCCTGCTGCAGTTATCAGAGTGAGAAAATATATGTTAATTCTTCCGTTAATAAGCAGTTTTTGGAGAGAAATAAATAGAATTGAAAGATTAATCTACTTGCTTCTATAAAGGCTTTACAACTTGCATCTAATCAAGACGCCCTGAAAGGGGTGGAAAAAAGCTTTTAGTGCCTATACAAATCTCGTACCCAAGGGCAAGGCGTGCCGATTCGCAGGAATGCAAACAGGCATGCTCTCTGTATAGGAGATTGCTTACTAAAACCCATGCATTGAAAATGTTTTCCCGAACTAAAATATATTATAGAAGTTATGATCCATTTTTCATTAAATAGAACTCCTTTTTATTGCAATTTTTAACTTTTAAAAGCTTTTCATCAACTTTTATTGAAGGTTTTACAGCCAGCATTGCATCGAGATTTCGTATTCAGTTCGTTAACGGCAGCTGAGGTGAACAGTGACTTTCATCCGATCTCGACACCAGTCTCTCGAGAAATACATAAACACGCCAGAGCTCTGAGATCAAAGGTAATCCATCTTTGGTTTATTAAAAATTGCTTTTCAAACTCGGAAATAATTCATGGCCAAAACACAAAACGCTCATGTAATAAACGCTCATGTGTTTAGGGCTGGTTTACAATATCGAAGTTTCTGTGATCACAGTGGGGATTTTGCATGGGTAAATTCTAAGTTTTGAAGGATTTGTAAGAAATGTTTGAGGGAATTGACTCGGTGTTTAACACTGAATCAGTTTCCTCAAACATTTCTTACAAATCCTTTAAAACACAGAATTTACCCACGCAAAATTCCTACTGTGATCACAGAAACTTTGATAATGAAACTACCAACCTTAACTCAACTTTCGTGCTGAATTTCTCCGAGAAGTTCTCTTTAAATACTGGTCCGTTAATATATCCTAGACTCGACTGACGTATTTTATTACAGTGATAGGTGCTTTTATTACAGTTGAGGTGCTTTGATATCAATCAAAACACCTCAAAGCAGGTTAAAAACTCTACTCAAAAACGTTTATGATTCTTTCTTGTTAATCCAAGGGTAAAAAGGTTCCGTTCTTAAAGAGTGCAGTTTTGAGGAATGAGGTACGTCATGAAGACAAACTCGCTCAGAATTAATTTGAAAAAGTTTTTGTTTTTTTCCCTCGCAGTATTGAAATCATTTTCAGTATGGCTTTTTTCTTTTGACAACAGGAAGATGTAAAAAATTGGACATCATGTTCCGTGTTACCAATTATGAAATCTTTTTCACCCATGTCTTTCACAAGACTAAGGTATATTAAGTTTTAATTTTTTTGTCCATAGCTTAGACACAAAGTTCACAAACCACGACAGCTTATTGTAGAATACTACCTACACTATATCACCACGTTTAAGATATCTTTTTCAGGTAGTTCAGACACAAACCACGACAGCTTGTTGTAGAATACTACCTACATTATATCACCACGTTTGAGATATCTTTTTCAGGTAGTTCAGACACAAACCACGACAGCTTGTTGTAGAATACTGCCTACACTATATCACCACGTTTGAGATATCTTTTTCAGGTAGTTTAGACACAAACCACGACAGCTTGTTGTAGAATACTACCTACAATGGACCACCACATTAGAGAGATCTTTTTTAGGTAGTTCAGACACAAACCACGACAGTTTGTTGTAGAATACTACCTACACTGGACCACCACGTTTGAGATATCTTTTTCAGGTAGTTCAGACATAAACCACGGCAGCTTATTGTAGAATACTACCTACACTGGACCACCACATTTGCGATATCTTTTTCAGGTAGTTCAGACACAAACTACGGCAGCTTATTGTAGAATACTACCTACACTGGACCACAACGTTTGAGATATCTTTTTCAGGTAGTTCAGACACAAACCACGACAGCTTATTGTAGAATACTACCTACACTGGACCACAACGTTTGAGATATCTTTTTCAGGTAGTTTAGACACAAACCACGACAGCTTATTGTAGAATACTACCTACACTGGACCACAACGTTTGAAATATCTTTTTCAGGTAGTTCAGACACAAACTACGACAGCTTATTGTAGAATACTACCTACACTGGACCACAACGTTTGAGATATCTTTTTCAGGTAGTTCAGACACAAACCACGACAGCTTATTGTAGAATACTACCTACACTGGACCACAACGTTTGAAATATCTTTTTCAGGTAGTTCAGACACAAACCACGACAGCTTATTGTAGAATACTACCTACACTGGACCACCACGTTTGAGATATCTTTTTCAGGTAGTTCAAACACAAACCACGACAGCTTATTGTAGAATACTACCTACACTGAACCACCACGTTTGAGATATCTTTTTCAGGTAGTTCAGACACAAACCACGACAGCTTATTGTAGAATACTACCTACACTGGACCACCACGTTTGAGATATCTTTTTCAGGTAGTTCAAACACAAACCACGACAGCTTATTGTAGAATACTACCTACACTGGACCACCACATTTGCGACATCTTTTTCAGGTAGTTCAGACACAAACCACTACAGCTTATTGTAGAATACTACCTACACTGGACCACCACGTTTGAGATATCTTTTTCAAGTAGTTCAGACGCAAACCAGTGAAACTACGACAGCTTATTATAGAATATTACCTATACACTGGATCACCACGTTTGAGAGGTCGTTTTAGGTCTATTATTTATAACATATTTTCAAATCATTTTAGTTACAGAGGATCGCCTGAGGCGAGTGAGATTACAACAGGGGCGTGGAAATCACAGAGCAGTTACTATGGTGTCCGCTTCCCTGGCATCAGACGGAATCATGGTCCCAGCGTCCTCAGTGTCAAATCTGCGCCACCAAGTCTTGGTGGTCAGCAACTAAACCATCAAATACGACGTCACATGCAAAGACAGGAGACAGAAGATGCGGTACGGAATGATGAGATGAGACTGGAAATCCAAGACGAACAAAGGTGGGTTGCGGGGAATGAGACTGATCGAAATATCTAGAGGTCCTGCAAGGGTCATCCCTTATTGGTGGGTGATAGGGTGGGTGCAAATCATCCTTACTTGCAGCTGAGAGCTAGCTGAATTACGAAGGACGCAGCTCAACCTCAGTCTTACGCCCGTATTCTAAGGCTATGTTTACATTGTATCGGATCACTTTGCGTCCGACGCAAAAACCATACCCGATAGGGCTTCTGTTTACATATGAAATGTTGTTATCGTCTCAATTTCTGCAACGGACCGGTGGTGCGGCGGTTCGCTCTTCGAAGTGGTGCGCGATGTATCGGATCGCTTTTTGCAACGCTCTCATTGTAATGTAAACACAAATCGGAGCAATTTTCGGTTCAATACGTGACTCAAGATGGCATCTGCGAAACAAAGACTTGCTATTCTAATCTTATTTGCGGGTATAGCTTGCTCACTTATAATATTTTTGTATTTAGATGGGCGAGGACGAAAGCTGTTTACACTTGGGCCGTAACGTTTCGTGAACGAAGCAAAAACCGATCCGATACAATGTAAACATAGCCTAAAAGCTCACTTACACCATGGATAGGACTCTAGCTGACGTAAGCAAAAACAACCTAGTTGCAATCTGTGACGTCACGCGTATTGCAAAGTTCTCGGCATTTTTGTTGTTTCGCTATATTTTCCGCTTTAAAAGAGTAATATTGAAGCATAAACTGGTCTAATTGTTTTAAAAACATGCCTAAGCCACGACAAAGTATTCAAGGTAAATGTTTTTCGTCTTTGTTTTGTATTTTTTTTTACATTTGTAGCTACGAAATTGGCGTCCCCAATTTTAACGAAATTTGGGATGCCTTTTTCACTCTTTAGTGCTTGAAATATTTGCTAAAATTGACTGGGAATACTTAGAGATTTCATCGTAGAATGGCATAGTTATATTCATTTGCTCTTTGACTAAAATGTTTAGCTGTATTATTGCTAAACATGCCGTTTTTGAGAATTTGGTTTGCAACTAGGTTTCAACATCCAATCACGCCATCAGCCAATTGAAATCATTAGGTCACGTCAGCAAGTTTCCTATCCATTTATTTTATTATCCATGCTTACACTCAATGAGTGGAGATTCAATCTGAGCTTCTTTTGAGTGTTAAATGCTGTTTTTGAATAGCTGGAGGGTTAGTGTCGTACCTTACTCGGTAACTACTGTACTCACCCTCCATACAGCTGTTCAAAAACAGCATTGACACTCAAGAGAAGCTCAGATTGAACCTCCACTCATTGAGTGTGAGTGAGCTTTTAGAATACGGGCGTAAGGCTTTCTAAGGGCGCCTCTGATAACCACCTTATTAATTTATTAACTTTGCCAGATAGTATTAACAGTTATTACAAAGTAATAATTTAACGAATTAACTAGACTATATGGCAGGGTATTCGCAACAGCGATTAGCCAATTACTGCGAACCCAAGGACAATACGTTAACATCAAATAGCAAAAAAAACTAACAACTAACTTCATGCATTTATACAACTATATATTTAGCTATCTACGGCAACTGATCATGCTATGATAATAACATGCACTAGCTGAAAAGAAATTGAACAAAATGAAATCAATGCATGCTATACCGACTATATAAGCATAGCACGAGCAGTTGCCATGTAGCTAGCTGTGCTGAAATTTTCAATAACAGCAAGATATTGGAGACGCTAAACTACGAACACAGTTGCATTTCAAGCATAAAGATCTAAATGTTCGCGGATTTTCAGGATTATAAGTAATGTCAACAGAGGTAAAATAATAATTAAGTAAACATGATTTAAATACAGCGAGACTGTCCTTATGACTCAAGTCTGATCAAGGAGCACAGATACGGTGGGTTGGGATTAGCCCCCTAACTGACCCACCCTCTCAACATTCCCTGTGAGAGGAAATCGGAGTACCCGGAGAAAACGCACGACTTTTGGTAGAGCATTGACTTACTCTTTTCACATAAGTGTCGTCAGTGCAATGTGAGATCGAAGCCACAATCTCAGAGGTGAAAGACGATTGCTCTGAGAATAGACCTTTCCCCTTATAAGTGAAATTTTGATCTAGACTAGCCTGGACAAAATTTTCATCACAGCTAGAAAGAGCATCACAAAATTAGTAATATTCCTTAGTTTCGTTGCGAAATGTTGTAAAATGCGGATAATATAGCCTTGCGAAGTTTGCCGTTTTTCAGTCATTTTGCATTACAAATGAAATTCATAATCAGTTTGATCATCTGATTATCAATTTCCCGTTTGTAATCAAAATGACTGAAAAACGGCAATCTTCGCAAGGCCATATTATCCGCATTTTACAACATTTCGCAACGAAACTTCGGAATATTACTAATTTTGTGATGCTCTTTCAAGCTGTGATGAAATTTTTGTCCAGACTTGTCTAGATCAAAATTTCACTTAAAAGGGGAAAGGTCTATTGCGCCACCGAAGCCCTTCAACCTGCCGTTAAAGGAACCCCTTGGAAATCTTTCTCGAAACTGTTACATGCCCTCTCTTTTGTTTAGGGTTGTTGTGTATAAATCCACAAACTCAGAAACGGAAATTCACTCTCCTCATACAAAATTAGACGTTGTTTTAAATTGGTTTGGCCAAGAATGGAATGGTAATGTCAGTATGTATAAGTTTAACGATGTGTTTTGTAATACGTTTCTTGAATATGATTTTTTCTGTGTTGGTGTAATGTACTCAGGTGAATATGATGCTTGTGATGTTACTCTGAGTGTATATCCACACCGGGCAGGCTTGAAAAATATGCCTGACCACGGTGGGAATCGAACCTACGACCTTTGGAAGTTCCTTGAATGTTTGCATGGAGAACAAAAACAATACTGTCCTTTTGTTTTATGGAAAACACCACGTATGAAAAACGTTGAAAGGAATGGAAAGCATCAATTTAACTGGAAAGCATCAATATTTTATTAGCATCTCACTTGTTTGAATAATAGTTGAAGGGAGGCTATGATCGCTCTCTCCTGACAAGATGTTTTATTCGTATTCTTAGTGTGGAAACGAAATGAATTTTTGCAAATTTTTCTGAAAACATTGGAACCAAGTGAAGTGTTTTATATCTCAGGATTAATAACAGTAAGTATTCGTCATGTAGTATTCTGATACTATAGGCATAGAATGGATCACTGAAGGCAACCAAAGCCCAAAGGTCTGTTAAACTTTACAATGAATTTCTTTTTCAGGTAAGACGATACAGAGATTTCATTCCGTTATTACCAAGACAGCTCTCTCGTCTCATCCTGTCGTATTTAACTGTGAAAGAACTCACTTTAGTGAGTCAGGTAAGGTATTTTACGTTTATTATGTATTAAGGAGTTTAAGCTTCACGTTTCCGGGAAAGGCAAACGGCAGGTTCGAACTTTCTCGGCAAAATTTTCGTTGAACGTTTTTGTTTCATATTTTCTTTCTTGCGTCGAAAGAATAATTATGTATTTCAGTTTTAAAACAGCAAGTTTATTTACTCTTTATTGTCTGATACCGTAAAATTTGCCTGGCGTTTGCCGTATAACGCGAAGCTTAAACTCTCTAATATCTACCTCCTTCAAGTGTAAACTTTTCTGTATGAAATCCACAGAAATTGTTTTGTAATGAAAACGAATTGCATTGAAATCATTAGATTGAAACTATGAACAACTTAATTCCAGGTGTGTCGAGCGTGGAACAAAGTTGCGAATGATGAAATTTTATGGAAAGAAAAATGTGGAGGAATTTATATCGGCATTCCATTAACCAAATCAAAACATTGGAAAACAGTTTATAAAGAAAGTTTAGAGTTACAACAGAACTGGACTGATGGCCGGTGCACTTTGACGGAACTGAACGGTCACACAAAACGGTATTCATTCAGCCTACCTATCGAAGGGAAGATGTAAAACTCATTAGATAAACAATTATATAACTCATTATCTATGTTAATTAACGTTAATTCATTAATTCATAAATCTGGTTCTTCACCGTTACGTGTGTATTGTATTTTTGCCAAATCCACCAAAAGCAATTTCCAATTTACCCTGTTCGTGTCACGCCGGATAAGTAACTTTCCTAAAACATTGCAATTGGTTAGTTGGGCAAAAATACAATACGCACGTGACGGTGAACGACCAGATTTATGAATACACGCGTTGACTAATATAAAGACTATAAATAATGAGTTATATTGTTATTCTAATGAGTTTCATAAGTACAGTAACATCTTCCCTTCGATAGGATATGATTCACTTTATCTCAAACGTGTGGGTCTGTGTAGATAGTATTCTATACTTTATAGCTGCCTTGGTTTGCCTTTTTCAAGTAGTTCAGACACAAACCACACAGTGCGTCTATCATTTCAATTATGTACTTTGTTGAATTCACAGAGTACTGTCAGTGAGTGCTTTTGAAAATATGATTGCCAGTGGAAGTTACGACAAAACAATCAAGTATGTGGATCCATTATTCGGCTACATAGTAAATCAACATGCTTGTTGTAAATAATGGTCGTTTATTCATTTCAATGCATGTGGAAAAATTAAATTGTTTTATAGAGTATGGGATGCAAAATCAGGGAAAATTCTTCAAACTTTAACAGGCCATTCGGTAAGTTTTTCAATCTATTTATGTTTAGTTTTATTTTAATGGTTTATTCACTTTTCACTACATTGATTGATCGGATTGTTGGTTATTCGTTTCATTAATGGATTGTTTAATTGCTACATATAATTATTATTAATATTTCATAATCAGTACTTTAATTTCACAACAGAAAGGAGTTTGGTGTTTATGTTTTCTGTCAAAAACGTTGCTCATCAGTGGCTCACACGATACATCTATCAGAGTAAGTACGATTACATGTATAACTTCGAAAAACTTTGTTTCTACTGGATAGTTCTATCTGTGTTTTTCTAGAGGTCCAGTAAGAGTCATCCCTTTTTTCTCCAGGGGAAGCACACTCGTCTCACATCATTTTCTTCTTATTTTAACAGGTTTGGAATCTAACGACTGAGACCTCGGTGAGGTATGAATTAATAAAGGAATACCGAATGGTTTTCCATGCAGGATTACGTGATCCATGCACGAGGGATGTCTCGAGACTTTCGGAAAGCGTAAAAATACTCGAGCCGCAGGCGAGTGTAATTGTTTTATAAAATACTGACAGTGGCAACAATGACATTTTGAAAATCCCGCAAAAATCCCGCGAAGGCATTTTAATTCCTCGTGCAGGATAGCCTGATCCTGCACGGCTATTGACCAATCAAATTGCGTGTTTCACTGTAGTTATTATATAATGCATTTTCTCCGTCGAATCAAACGACACAATCTAATACTGACTTCAAAATTTCACTCTGTCCAATACGGGAAAATATTGCTTGTCAACGGCATTCAACTCAGTTCATTTCTCTAAATATGATATTTTCTTGTTCAGAATTTTGATGAGT